CTAGTCAATGGGTGAAATTTCTGTTATATGTTCGAGCGTGTATGTATATTTCTCAACATAAAATGTAAGTGCAATTTCATTAATATTCCCATAATACAAGCCTTCAGACAATTGCATGCATTGTGCCGGAGCAATTTTATCTTTATTTAATATGAATAATCACTATTTAATTACGTAGTACAACAACAAACTTGTATAGCAAAGCTTTTAACCTACTTACAATATTATTCTCGCTTCTTAAGCTATGTACACGCACCCACCCACACACATAAATGCATACACATAAGGACTGTTCCATAAAATAGAAGACTGATTAAATGTAGCATATTTTGCTTACGCATTCTTGGATTCTAAAGGGCGTATGCTTCTCTGACATGCTTTAAAATTCCATTTCAGTCGAAAAACCGATAACTTTTCAAAAATCGATTCATATTACGGTGTCGTAAAGTATTAAAGTTGTTAAGGTAGATAGTTATTAGATTTGTAATTATTAATATTATTCCTAATATGCCCAACGGCTTACCAATGTATGTATTTTTTTGGTTGATACCGCGACACGATGGCTGGAAAACCGTTCCGAAAAATTGGAACAACCGATTTTCATAGGAAATTCGCCATAACCAGGAACCAAGGGTTATCACTTAGTACGAGTTTTAGTTTATAGTGGATAAGAACCTTCCAACCAAACTATGGAGACTCTGGTAAGTCACTTTCGATGTTTGTGGTCTGTTGTTGTCCTGATGAAACACAATTCGTGTTGGTTAAAGGTTTTTGCTCCTCTCAGATGATCCAATTGCTGGCAGTACATGTCCAATTAAGGTTTTGGCCTTACCGGGAGACAGTTCATATTAGAAGATTCCTTGCCAATCGCACCAAATTCACAACAAAACCTTCCTCGCCGTCAATCTTGTCTTGGAGACAGTTTGTGCCGGCTCACTGCCCTTTGACTACAACCATTTTCATTTAATGCTATTGTAACTGATTATCTTTTTATCATCAGTCGTCATCTGCTTCAGAAATGGGTCGATTTTGTTACAATATAACAATGATTTTAAGATGAAAATGTGGTCCATGACGTTTTTCTCATTACCGATATATCGAGCGTCTTTGTCGACATTTTCCTTAATAAATGAAAGAAATCTAATGCAAAAGTGATGGATTTCCTTTTACTTGACCTAATATAATAAAATTATGGAAATATGCTAAATTTTCTTCCATTGCGGCTGTAATTATTATAATACATAGAGTGCATGAACTGGATATTAAATATGCATATTGTATTATGCCAATTAGTGGCAACATAAAAATGTACATACATACATATATGTTTATTATTCAGATTGTATTGCATGTTAAGTAGAAAAACTTCTCGAGGAAAACATTGATAAAACATTTTCACAACTTACAAGTTTCTAAATCACAAGTTCTAATACAATCACTCGCTTCCCTTTCAAGTACCCTTTATGTCTATTATTGTATAATGGTTATTCGTTGTAGTATTGTACATACATATATAAACATACTTATAGCTGTAGTTAAAAAAATAATTAGACTAAGCTTTTCATTTTGTCTTAAATAAAGTCAATGGAGATTGGATTTGTTGACGGCGATAAAATATTGTATGGACATAACATATTCCATGCAACCCACAGGCACCTGGTGATAGAATCCAACTCAGGTATAGTTTAAATGTGTAGTGCTTTATAACCCCATAAGCACGTTTCACAACAATAACTCATTTCACCACACTAATCAAGAAAGCCGAGAGTCAAGTTCAGCGGTAACCGGTTTCTTGTCGGCTTTGCGATGGTAAGCATTCGGTAAGACCATGCGGCGATCACTTACCAGCCAGTCGAAACGTCTGAGGAGAGACAACGCGTGCTTTCAAAATGGATTTCTTCAAAGTGCTTCTCAATTTAGCTCAGAAAGGTGAGCTAGTGAGTAGAGATAGAAAAGCACCATACCCTCCGCCCCTCTTCTGCCTTTCAGTTAAGCCAAATCAGGGCGAGATCAGTACTGGCAGTTCAGCCCCAAAGACACCCTCGGCGGATCTGATACGAAGTCTTCGCCCATCGTTTGAGAACCACCGACATCACCGAAAATGTCACAGGACCGACTGAAGCGTAAAAGTTCCGATTGAGAGACTATTTACTAAGCCTTAGGGTATGCAGATTGCAACGTATACGGTAATAAACAAGAAGTTTCATCTCGAGAAATTTAGCTCAGCCCAAGTCGGCACACTCAATTTTATGCCTCTAGTCCTGTTTTTCATGAATCTTCTCTTATATTTTTAATTATAATAATTAATAATCAATTTAGTTGATGTGAAAAAAAATTTCAAAAACTCGAACTCGTGTGCTCCCGTTTTCATAAACTTTTTGTTCCCTCTTAACAACAACTCGTAAAAGCACTTACTAAAAGCAGTATTTGCTGGTGTGCGTCTTAGCTACTGGAAAACACAGACTGCTCGTTTAAAAGATTACTGTAATTCATTTATCATCACTTTTGACATAAAAATAAAACAAATTTAAAAAAAAATTTACTAAGAATATATAATTTCAATTCCAAATAATCCCGATAGTCAAAAGCTCTATCAAATTTTATCAAATAGTTTCCACGGTTGGTATTGTTGCGAAAATGCGAGGCGAATGTCAGATGAAAGAGAGAAGCCGATAACTAGTACGTTCTAGAAACGATAAAACAAGAACCTTCCATAGCGAACAATTCGATGCTTCTACGCTTTCGTCTGCGAGACAAGAGTGACAAAGCGAACTGGTTAGCGTTAACATCAGTGAAGACGTAAAGTGAACGCGTTGGGAATTACATTTAAGTAGAGTAAATTGTGAAAGTTGATGTTAGTGATTATAAATAGTAAAGTGCAGTATAATTGAATTGTGAATTACTGAGAAAATAAAGGACATTAGATAGAATCTGTATAACGAAAGAAACTGCAAATTAAGTTGGCGAGTTTTTATTTAACAATCCAGAGATCGTACCCGAAGGATCTAGAAAATAATCGAGGTTGATTTAGTAAAATCGTAACAGTATTCACAGAACTGTTTTAAAATATTTCACTTGTGACACCCTACATTGGATTATTAATACCAAAGAACGTATATGAACGGATCCCTCAAACCATACGATTTTGATAAATATATTTTAAATTTAGATCTAAAAGAGTTTAGTAATATTAAATAATTTCAAAATGTAGTAAAAATTGGCAATCAAAGCGAATTGAGCTTATATTTCCCCATCTATTCGAAACCCTGAAAACGGCTCTACCGCATTTGCACAAAGACCGTAAAAGTCTTGTCGCTTCTTATTCATATACGTTCTTTGCTTGAACCAACTTTTGCGGTAAATAAAAGAGTAAAGTAGACCTCCTATCTATCTATCTATCTCTTTTATCTCTGAAAGAGTATGCTAAGAACTTCGCTCTCAAAATTTTACTGCGATTTTTTTCTTACCTTCAGGATCATCAAGAAAATATCAGCAACTATTTCTTTTATTACGAAAGTAAATTTATTTCAAATAAAATGTAAACAATAACTATTGCACATAATCCATGTAAATAAAAAATTCGTGGAGAATGTATTGAGTTTTCAAATGGCTGTTTTGAAACCCCAAAAGTTTGAAAATAATTTTAATCTGAATTAAATACAAAGATCTTCATAAACTCCACTAAATAAGTATAAAGTTTTGATGCCAGTCAAATAGTTTCCATGGCTGCCGAAAACTATTTGACTTTGACCACATTGTGTTCATGCACGAAAAGTGAAAATTTAATAAATAAATATAGCTTAACAAACAATAAAAAAGTGTAGGTGTGTATGTGAAGATTAAAATCTAGTAATATAAACAAAAAATATTCAATTATGTATATTTACAAAAACAAAATTATTGTAAAGGTCCAAATTTGTAAATTCTTTGCGTTAAAACTTCTGCATGGCTGAGAAAAAGTTTTAACCAATGACAAATATATAAGTTGAATTCGCTTAAATTAAATATGGATTACCTTAAATTGGCGTAACTAACAAATTAATTAAAGAAAGGGATTTAATAGAGAGAGCTAAAACCTCTTAATGGCTGCTAAAAGGTTTTAACTTCTATTTTAGTACTAAAAAATATATATATAAAAGTTAATAGCAAAGATTTTCGTTTTCTATATCATTGTCAAATGCAATTGAATATTTTCTTGTTTATGACATTATAGCATTTTTACAAAATCGAATAACAACTATTGTAGTTACAATATGTTTACATGGCTGTGTAGTAAACATATTGTAAAAACAGTTTTTTTGGTTAAATAAACGCGGATCTGGCACTATTTGTTGTTTTATACTAATACTAATATACTATATCTTAACTTTTCCCGTTATATACAATTTTAAACTTTTCTCCTATACAGTTTTTCTAAGTGTCTTAGAGGACGTTTTAAAGCTTTGACTATAGCATTTAAATATACATACAAACATAAATTTTCTCTCTGTTTACATTAAATTCTTATAAAACGTATTCATTGTGTAAGGATTGAGTAACGATCAATATTTCAATGTCTGGCTCAGATTTGTGTACCTAATTTTTATTGTAAATCAAAATTAATATTTATTTCTGTAACATTTTTTACTAGTGAACGTTTCAAATTCTCATTTCTAATATTATCTACACAGCATTTTATCATTTATCATACAATTTCCTTAAATAGTTATATACAAATGTTTTTACTTCAAATTTTTTATTTACTTTTGATATTATTTTAGTTCAGCTTTCGTAATTATTTTTGTTTATTCTTTCTATTTTATTTTATTTTATTTTATTTTATTTTGTTTTATTTTATTTTATTTTAATTTATTTTATTTTATTTTGTTTTGATTTATTTGATTTTTTTTGTTTATTTTATTTTATTTTGTTTTGATTTATTTGATTTTTTTTGTTTTAATTTATTTAATTTTTTTTTGGTTAATTTATTTTTTTCATTTTATTTTATTATTTTTTGATTTTATTCATTTAATTTGTTTACAAATGCAACAATTTATGAACATACATACACACATAATTTCAACGATTTGATTTCTTTCGGCATTTACATGGCCATTGGAAAAAGCCAAATTTGTTTGGTTGGGGTCTCTCACTGTTTTTAGTCTACCACATATTAACAGTTTGTTTACGTATATATTAATGTATTCTTGTCAATTTTAATGATTTATTTTAAGCTTTTTTATGTTGTTGTTTTTTGCTGTGCAGCTTTCACCCAAATATGCCAGCGAAACCTAAGTAAATTACGTTGTTTGTGAAATTTGCATTTGTATAAGTGTACAAAACTTTTTTATCTTTTCCCTAATTTTAGTATTAACGATTTATTTATATAAGTGTATGCTACCAATTACTTATTAACTAATTCCCTAAACTTTTGTGAACAATAACTAGTGATCAAATTACTTATACCCGTTTGAATATGTACTCACTACTGAGTAAAATAATATGGTAGTAAGTTTTAGCGTCGAACTTGGGGGAGGGGTGTGAGGGTAGAGCTAAATTACACATAATAAACTTTGAATCGTGCGAATGGCTGATCTCAGACCTCAGCACTCTCTTTGGCATCGGTGAGCCGCACTTGGGTCGCCTCGGCAGTTACACCATTTATGGAGACCTGTTGATCACGCCAAGGTGTTGTTAGTATTTTCAAACGCTGTCCATGTAATTAGAAAATACATTTATAAATTTGATGAATTAAAAAAAAATTAAAAGATTCACCTGTTTCAAACTACCCGGTGTTTTGAGTATCATAATAATCGCCACCGCTGGTATCATTATCACCGAGGAACCCGCTATACACCAGCCCAACGCATTCGCCCAACCAGGATAGGTGTAGTCCTCATATGTTAACGGCTCGTAACCGATGAGACCATAGACTGTGATGAATAGTAGGAACAACGGCGCTACAAAACGCCAGCATACCTGCCAGTACTTGCCTGGTGGAAAGCCGATCATGTCACGTATATCTTCACAAAAGCGATTGGTACCTTCATATCAGAATTTATCAAAAAAAAAGAAACCATGAGTCCAACATTTTTCCCAATATACAATAAAATAACACACCGTAAATCCACGAAACCGCAATCGACTCAAAGAACACAGCTATAAGTATCGAGTAACCCGCGGCATAACGATCCAATAATTGGAAGAAGTAAAAGCCGCCATGTGTGCAACTGGCCAAGCCCACAATGAAATACAGCGTGAAGAGAATGGCAACGAAAATCTCACGATTTCTGCCAATCTTTGGGAATTCATCACTCAGGGCCGTTATAATAGCCTCGGAACCGCCGAACTGTGGAATAAAATTATATATTTTAATATTTGAGGACCACTTCCTAAAGTTAGATAATCCAACGCACGCACCGAACTATCTAAACCCAGGGTCAGCAACATCATGAAGAAGATTAACGCCCAAAAAGTGCTGCCGGGCATTGTGGCAATCGCAGCTGGATAGACGACGAACACTAAGCCCGGTCCTTCCGTGGCGACATCCTCAATATTTTGGCCTGAAGTGTGTGCCATATAGCCCAGCACAGAGAATATCACAAAACCAGCTATGAAACTAGTAGCCGAATTAATACAACTGGTGAGTAGAGCATCTCTGAATTTTTATAAAAAAAAAGAGTATATAATTTAGTTTAATTATTTTTTTTTTTTTTTGTAATTCCTTATATGTATATTTATGTGCATTCATAATAACAAAATACTCACTTATAAACATTATTATGGTATTTATTGTAAGAGGCGTAAGCTAGAAGTACACCAAAGCCCGGACCCAAAGAAAAGAACACTTGGGTCGCCGCATCAACCCACACTTCCGCCTTGTAAATGGCATCGAAATTCGGATTCAAATAATATTGTATACCCATGGCAGAGCCAGGCAGTGTGATACCACGGATAAGCAGGATCAGCAGCACAACGTAAGGAAAAAGCGCCGTGAACCAAACAACCTTACCGGAAGTGCTAATGCCTTTCCACAGGGAGAAATAACAGATGAGATAGACAACTAGTAGACAAACAGCCATATCCCATTTAATGGGACCAAGGTCATCGAGACCCGAACTACGATTTAGTTCAAGTATATAACGGCTGAAATTCAAAATTAAAAAATAATTAAATATTTTTCAGATATATTTTACTAGTCATTCATGAAAATCATATTGAAATCAGCAGAAGTAATCTCGAACTTATCTTACTTAAAATATTCCGATGCTGCTGATTGAAATCGCTCTGTGGTCGTTGTTCTTCCTGCAGTACCGTTTTCGTTGTAACCTAACATGGACAGATTGCCGAATGAAAAATCGGTGAAGTTTACAGAAATATTGAAATTCGGGACACTGGGCTGCGTGGGTAGTACCGCGTTTTGTTGGACTTCGAACTGTGTATAAATTTATTTTTAATTAATTAAAATTTTTTCATTCAGCAATTTTGAAATGATTTAGGAAATTTTTTTACTAAATAAATAAATAAATACCGGTTTGCAGAAATCGGAATTCCACGGGTTTGTACACGACGTCCATGGCAAATTATTTGTGAATGAAGCGAAGAAGAAACGTAAACTCCAAGCAATGATGACATTATAGTAGAAATCAACATAGAAAGCGATCAGCACCACTGCGTAACCGATTCCTACATTGGATTAATTGATATTTCGATAAAAGTTTTAAGATTTAGTTAAAAGTCTTTTGTCACATTTGATTTCGAAATACCTTTAAATAACGGCACCAAACGACCCCAACATGTTATGGCGCCCTTGCGGTTATGTTGGCCCAACGCTAGTTCCATATAGAATAATGGTATACCACCGACAAGTAGCATAATACAATACGGTACCAGAAAAGCGCCTGGAAAAAGAAAAAGTTTAAAGAAATACACACATATACACATCTATATATATATATATATTAATATATAATTAATTAATTTAATGAAGTTGACATATTTCTATCGGTCATTAATAACAACAGCTAGACACTTAGTATTTGGTGTAGTAAAAAGTTAGTTTGTTTTTTTATCTAAGAGATGGCGTTATTGTCCATAGTACTAGTACGTGTCGCATCATATCATACCATGCGATTGTTCGCGCTAAAAGTTTATCTTTGACAGTTTTTCGGTTGATTGACACAGTACGTAGTGAGCGCTCGTCAAAGATGGACACCAGCAAAGAGAAAATTTGCTATATTTTAAAATTTTCCTTCGATCAAGGCGGAAAAGCAGCCAAAGCGGCTGAAAGAATTAATTTAGTTTATGGGCCCGATACTGTCATTGAAGGTGTAGCACAAAAGTAGCTTGCTAGGTTCCGTTCCGGTAATTTCGATGTCAAAGATGCAACACGCGTCGGGAGGCCTGTCGTCGAAAATTGAGATAAAACCATGAATCGTCGACCGTTACGTGAGCAATTGTTTATTTGCCGAGGAACTAAAGGTAAGCCAGAAAACCGTCTGGAAGCATAACTTTTGATTCAAAAAGAAGCTCGAAGTTTGGGTGTCCCACGAACTAACGCAAAAGAACATGATGGATCCAATTTCCATCTGCGAATCGGTGCTGAATCGCAACAAAATCGACCCTTTTCTGAAGCGGATTGTGGCTGGCGATGAAAAATGGGACACTCACGACAACATCGAGCGCAAACGGTCGTGGTCAAAGCTCGGCCAAGACCGGGTTGATGGCCAAGAAGGTTTTGTTGTGTGTTTTGGTGAGATTGGCAAGAAACCATCTACTGCGAGCTACTCCCCTATGACCAAACGCTCAATTCGGCCCTCTAATTCCAACAAATGGACCGCTTGAAGGCAGCACTTATCCAGAAGAGGTCATCTTTGATCAACAAAGGCCGAATTATGTTCCATCAGCACAACGCCAGGCCACAAACGTCTTTAGTGAGGCGCCAGAAGCTCCAACAGCTTGGATAGGAGGTCCTAATGCACCCACCTCTTAGTCCGGACATGGCTCCAAATGATTACCATGTTTTCCTGTCCACGGCGAATGCGCTTAATGGTGAGAAGTTGATCTCAAGAGAGGCCTGTGAAAATTGGCACTCCGAGTTTCATTGCAAAAAGGGACCCAGCCTTCTACGAGAGGGCAAGCAACAAGCTTACGAACAAAACGGCGCATATTTGACTTAAATCGGACAAATGTACACAAAGTTATCATATTTTGAAAAATCAATAACAACCGAGCGAACCTTTTACTTGACCTAATACTCGCTATTTTTATTTTCTTTTATTTTATTTTATTTTATTTTATTTTATTTTATTTTATTTTATTTTATTTTATTTTATTTTATTTTATTTTATTTTATTTTATTTTATTTTCTTTTCTTTTATTTTATTTTATTTAATTTTATTCTATTTAATTTTTTTCTATTTCATTTTATTCTTCACGAAGTATTTACTTTGTGCCCTGTTACTTACTGCAGGATTTAATATTCAGTTATATTTTAATTATGCCAGTAAATTAGGTGGTTGGAGCTTATCCTTTCACCTACTTTTATATTAAATATCTATATCTCATTAGTATGTATGTACATTTGTGTATTGCAAAAAGTGACACCATAACTAGCCTAATCCTCTACTTTATATAGACATCGTAATATTGAATATTCTGTGCTAAGCTTTTATGCAGCCTTCATAAGGATCAAAATATTAGTGGTAGTAAGTTTAATATTTTTCATTCGTTGTACCCAACATGCATTACGGGCGACTTAGTTAAAAACTATTGCATAAAAACTATTAAATAAAATTTTTATAAAAATTAAAGTCAATAATAAAACCAGCAAATAACAATATGAAAGCTGGATATAAAAATGTCAATTGCAGAATTTGCTGTTAGGCAACAGCTTGTACAAAAGTTTATGTATTACATAGTGCTAGTCCTCATATTTTTGAATATGACCCTACTCTTCAATTTAATTTTTTTTTACAATGAACTTTTGTTTATCTCATTACAAGGGGCATGGGTTGTACAGACAACGCCATACTTACAGCTCCGTAGGTACGTTGAATACTCTTTTCATTGAATATACATACACTTCAACCACTTGCTGCTTTTCATTCTTTGATATTTTACAAGCCACCAAACCACTGCGTTCTCCCCTCTTACTATTAGGAAAACCCTAATTTCCTTTTTCCTCTGTAACATCACCATTTTCCGTCCATCAACACTGTCACAGCTATTACCACATATTAAACACCTCATAAAATTATTCTGCCTTACATACGCTGCACACTCCTCGCTTCGCTTTTGTTCCCTGCCACACCTTCTCTTTGCTGCACTTAAAAAATGAGCCAATATGATTTTGATTATAGTACAATATAAATCTAATTTTAAAACAAAATATATATGTATGTATATACTGTAGATACATTCGAGTAGAACATGAATATGGATGGCTGCGGCATTCTCTTCGACAGCGTTCAACAACACCGTCGTCGACATTTTTAGTCCTATTGCCTTTATTATTCTTGTGTCGAGTTGTTAAGTGAAGTGCTCTGCTTTTGGCTGACAAAGGCATGCATCGTTTTCGACATCAAATATCAATAACACTCGCAATCACTTACTTCTAGTGCATGGTGGTATGTAAATACACATACGCACATACATATGTATTCAATATTTTGTTATAATGCTTTAGTTGTTGTTGTTGTTTGAGCCATGCAAATTTCATGGTTTCGATACTTGGCATTTATAGTTAAAAGTGTCAATGTGTATTTAAAGAGGGTACACAGTTCAAAGTAATGACGTCACCTAATCAAATTTCCTCTTGAAACAATACTCTACAGCTTGGTGAATGTGTATGAAGAAAAGTGATTCTATTCTAAGAAGAATGGTTGCAAAAATAGGACGATGAAAATAATAATTAAAATAAAATATAATTTATTATTTATAAAAAAAATGTTAAGCGTGGACACTTTTACTAAAGAGTGGCACTTTTAGGCATTATCTTAATCCATAAAATTAAACTAACCTAAAAAATAAAAATTACATCCAGTCTTGATACAGTTTATGAATATTGGAATATTAGTATTACGTCTGCACTTATTTATATCACAAAGTTGTAAAGGAAGACATTTTGTAAAGATTACATCGGCTTCGAATCTCCTCAAATGTACAAAGATCGACGCAGTATTTAAAAAAGAGCACACAAATGCACTTAAAAATAGCTTCTTTCGGTGTAACGCACGTTTTCATATCCCGTGAGACATTTAAAAGCCAAGTATGTAATCAGTGCATCGAAGCTCATCAAATATTGACATTACATTTTTTTTTGTAAAAAAACAACTACGAAAAACTAGATTTTTTAAACTAATTTTCCAGATTCACTTATCGTTACTAATTTCGGCCGCGTTAGCCGAGTGGGTAGCATTACGTACTGACATTTGGAAGGCTGGGTTTATATCCCGGAGCCACCAACATCAAAATAATTATGGAAAATTGATTTACATAAAAAATTTAGTTAAATTTTTTCACTGTGGTCGCCCCTGGACAGCGAATGTTTACCCCTCCGAGACATGAGCTCATAAAAATCCGTTCAGTCGTTCGGAGGCTGCTTAGTATAGACTGTAGGTCCCGCCATTTCTTGAAAAAGCATCAAGACGCAAAACCAAAAATTGCAGGAGAAGATAGGCCTTCAGCGGTTACAAGACGGCAATTACATATATATATACGACTGAAAACAGGTAACTCGTATCACCATATCGTCTCAGTTTGGAAAGTGGTAAAAGTTGATCGCTTAGGTTATACTGCGGTTATTTTAAGGTATTATTGAATTTTCGGGCAGACATTGATTTACAATGAATGTCTAAGGGATGTGTATCCTTTCCATAGATTTTTGAAATGAAATTTCTGCAATAAACCTGTGAACTACCACACATTTTCTTTTCAATCGACTGAAAACATTTATGATGAGGCATCATATCGGTTTTGGAAAGAGAAAAAAGATGACGTAGACCTTTTAGCCATTTCAGGTTAATATCGTAATAACTCGAGGGTTTTTGTTGAATGTTTAGCTAGTTGGTCGTTCATAATTATAACCTGGCGCAATCCCTGTATTTTTCTTTTCGACGATAGTTACATAATGCTCAAACAGTATTTTTGCGGAATTCACATATCTCCGGGGACCTTTTCGAGATTGAGCTTTTGCAGAAAATTAGCGACAAGAACTGAGGTTGATTGGTAACCATGTTTACTGTGAACAAACCAAAAGACAGATCCCGCTGTGAGATCAGTTGTGCCAACTTAGCGATAAAAAATCACATTTTAAATAGTCAATATACATACCTAATGGGGGACCTACAGTTTATACTAAGCCTCCGAACGGCATATGGTTTTTTTTTCATGTCAGAAATACAGTCGGAGAGGTTGACATTCCCTGCCGAAGGACGACCGCAATTAGTAAATTTAACTTAAACTTTTATTTTTATTAATTATCTACAACTTTTGTATGTTGGTCGTAACCGGATATGAACATGGGCCTTCCGAATGGCATTACATAATGCTAACCATTCAGCTCCCGTGTCCGCCACCGCATTAATGTTTTTTTATCAGCTTATCTAAAAATTAAATGTTATTACAGTATATATATAGTAATATTTCAATTATTTATATTTCTTTTTCCATATATTCAACTAAGTGTACGACTAAGCCGATATTAGAGTGAGCTATCATGAGAAATAAAACTCACAAGCGAAACCAAATTTTTCTTTTCTTATCCTTAATGTTATTAATTTTTTTGTGAACAAATGTCCATGCGAATGACAAGGGCAAAGCGTAAAATTTATATTAAGTCAGTTGTCATGGACACTTAAGCTCCAATATTATAGCCAAGTTGTGGTTTGCTTACTTATTTCCGTTTTACTGATTGAATGCAATGAACCGTAAAATTTTTATTTAGAAAAAAAGTGGTTTCTAAGTAAGCGCATTCGCCATATAGACCCATATTAATTTACCTAACTTGAGAAATATGTTTCGCAACTCATTCATGCCACAAGCGCATATGAGTGGTAAATGCCTCCTTTTTCTGACTCAATGCCGGTTTTCAGCTCATGAATTTAATGCCGAACCATTTTCTAAGGTGCCTCTTAGCTTTTCAAATTCAGAGTGTGGAAAAATCCTGACATTTCCTTTCTAAAATTTTTGGTTTTTTTTTCTGAGTTTCTTTGTCAATCCAAACTTTATAGCCATGCCGAGCACCACCAACCAAAAGCATGAAAAAGCAATTGCTTTCCCAGTACGCCTTTCACTTTACTGGGTAATTTTTTTCTCACTCCACTTACCGCTCAATGGCAGCGGTAAATGCGATTATGACTGCCAGATTTAGTTGTCATACAAAAGCACTTAACTTTGAAATTGTCTTGAAGGATTTGTAACGACGTTGGCATGCCCTGCTCAGGAATAGCACGCGCACACGCACATGTGTACGCCAGTGTTGGTAACGTTTGAGTACCGATTATTCGGTTTTAAAGTGCTTGAATCATAAATACTCAAAAAACTTAGTCAAAACTGGAACAGTATTTTGGGGCAATTAATTTTGGAATGTCGAGAAGTTTGTGTAACTCAAAAATATGTTTTTAAAATAAAAATCTGACACATTTGCCGGTTGGTAAACAATGCGTACTGCTATTCGGAAGATCATTGTTCGAGTGCTGTTGCGATCAACATCCAAAAGTTACAGAAAATTAATTTAAATAAAAAATTAAGCTAATTTTTCTAATTGCGGTCACACCTCGGCAGAAAATGTCAGCCCCTCCGAGTGTATTTAAGACATCAAATAAAGGCTCCTCATAAAAACCAAAAGCCTTTTGAAGGCGGCTTAGTATAAACTGTGGGGAAAACATTATGAGTCTATATTAAGCAAATAAAGCAGTATAATATATTATATATATTTAATTTATATGTACAACGAACCCTTACGGGACCCTTGATTCGACTGTAGCATTCGCTTCAGAATCGTACAACTTTTCTCTTCAACACTAACGCGTAGCAGTCGGTGAAAGGCAACAGGATGTGAATAGACCAGAAGCAACTGGTGGTGATAGTGTTGATGTTAATATTGAGTAGACGCATTCAAACATAACGCCGCAATTTTCTCAAGGAAGTGTGCCATAAGAACCACATTTAATGGCATCACTTCACTGGCGAAAGTGTTGAGCATGACAAATGGGACTATATTGTGGTGCATATACATATAAACATACATATACATACGTTCATACATGGGCACTTTATGCTGTTATGCGACACTTAACTCAATATTTTGTCTTTTTTTTTTTAATTGAACAAAGGGAAAATAAAAAATAAAAAGAAAAATCAAAATAAAAGTTAGACAACAATTGTTGCTTAAGCTATTACTGCAATTATTGCTGTTGGAGTGCTTGGGGAGAATGCATTGTGTGGCAGAACGTCGGGTGTTAAGTGGCATAAATCATAGCAATAAGCCAACACTCAGTCAACTGGCAGACAAACATACATATATGCATTGTTATGTTCGCATGAGTACTTATGAATACATCCAAGCGTTCTTAAGTCTATGTAATCGACTCTTACCATTCTATAGCAGGGCATTATTAGGTTCAATGTATGTATGTATGTATTTACGTACGGTAGTATGTAGCAAATTAGACGCACACAAATTAACTTTAGATTGCCATGCGGATTATGGCAGATTATGTGAGCGATTGTGTGAGTGTGTATGTGTGTATTTTGATGACTTAACTACTTCTACACATTGGCTAAGAACTATATGTATACTCGAGTCTCACAGTTTTAGTAACTAATTAAATAGCGCACAGTGTATAAGTTAAGGTGAATTTTCAAAAGCACTTACCACCGCCATTTTTGTAACATAAATAAGGAAATCGCCAAACGTTTGCCAAATCGACTGCGAATCCAATAACTGACAGCAAAAAATCGACTTTGCCGCCCCATGTCTCACGCTGATCGCCACTATCTATCTGGTCTCGTGGTGTTGGTGTCTTAGCTATTTGTCCGGTTGGTGACATCGCCAAGGCGATGTCCTCTCCTTCGTCGACGCCGCACTCTAAATCTAAAAACAGAAAAAAACAAAGAAAAAAAGCAGAATTACAAAAAATTGATGAAATAAATAAAAAAAGTATATTAAAGTATATAAAAAAAAATTAATAAAATAAATTAAATAAAATTATGATTATAATCTTGGCATTTTATGTGAAACACTAAGTTAATCAAGTGACCCTCGAACTTCGATTCGTTTAAAATAATTGTAAACCACTTTCTGGCACAAATTTTGCAGTATCTTAGCAATAACTTGAAGAATGTCACACGAACTCGGTGGCCAATTGACATTGCCAAGACGAAAGATGACGCGACCGTGAAATTTCTTTCGCAATAAAATAATATTTTCTCGTGTGGTGCTGCAGGTGACATCATATTGTTGAAACCACATATTAGCCACGTCCTGTTCTTAAATTTTAGACCAAAAAAAAAAAAGTTGGACAACCTACTACCCTAACGCACCGAACAGACATTGATAGTTTCACCGTTGTCGTTTTCAAAGAAGTAAGGTCCAAACACTTCTCCGAACCAAAGAGCGCACCAGAAAGAAAATCGTTTTGTGTGTGATGGCCACTGTTCAATCCTTTGAGGATTCTCAGAGTCCCTGATGCAATAATTTTGCTTATTTACGTATTATAATCTTAAACAGTGATTTCAGCATCCAATCGAAGTATGTACGGCGTTGTGAATGATCAGCAGGCTTCAGTTGTTGCGTGAGCGGTATTTATATGGGTGTAGGTGTAAGGCGAAGTATAAAATACGCCAAAATGTGCCGTAACAACAAACGAACGACGACACGCAGGCTGTTGTTAAGCGATCGAACTTACATATATAAATGCCAGACTTTTAACTGGTTTGACAGAGGTCCAAATACAACCCTGCACTTTTGAAGCCACGAAATAGATAACCCTACACAAGCTGATCAGTAATCATACAATTTATCTTCGAAGAATCAAACAGAAGAATTTTAACGAGTCTAATATCAAATTAGCACACTCATTCTTCTTATTGCAATGCGCACACACATCAGCATATTGAAAGTGATGCTCAAGCTTAGAGCTTCATACAAAAAAAATGGCCTGCGTCCATTTGGCTGAGCTCGCTTTAATTGCTTAATTAATTAATGTTTGAGCATGATTTCTGGGGTTGAGATGAAAGCCGAGCGCAGACGTTGCTACACAACAATTGTTCACTGCGTTTCCATAGCCACGTAATAAGTAGACTTTTTGTAATTTTTCAGTTTACTATAAAATAAATTAAGCTTTGTTGTCATCTCGACTACCTTCAAATATAGATTTTTCGAATAGAGTTGCTTGCTCCTTTGAAAATTATGACAAAACAAAACAAGAAATGTTCCCATTTCAATATATAAACATATGAATACCATGAATACATCCGTTTCCAGGTAAATGCTTACATATATGTATGTAGGTATATACAGATTTCCAACTGAAATAATTGTACGTATAAAGTGCTACGCCGGACACCTGTTCTGTCGACAGGCGGTCGATTTCTTTTTCAAAATTCTTTCATTTCATAACGGCGAGTATGTAAATGACTTGAATGGCTTTTCAGATTTTTTGTTTTCAGATTTTTTGTTGTTGTGGGTAGTATGTGGGCACAAGCTTCAAGCATGAAATTCTCGTAAATATGTCGCATATATACATACATATTCATTCATGCATATAACAGAAACGGTCTCGGTGAAATTATGTAGGCAACGAAAACTTTACAGTTGAAAATTGTTAAGAATATAAGATGGACAAATATTTTTTAATATGAAAATTTTAATAAAATTTCTCAACATTATGAAATAATGATGAAACTCATTGATATAACTGACGCGACTGGCCTTGTAATAACCAATTGTTGACCTGATTTTTCAATAAATTTGCATTGGTGTTGCCTTCTAATAACAACTTTAATTTCGTGTTTCTAATCATGAATTTTCTCTGGATGTAGCACTTATACTTATCGAATACGTAAGTCAGTTGTTTTGCTCGATAATAAACCAGTTTGGCGTGCTCGCTGCTCAAAGTAGTACACAAACTGCCTGGAAGAGCATTTGTTTCGCCCGATTTTCGTACGTAATTTTCTAGCAGTTGTAGACTAACCATTTTGGTAGTAAATTTTTAATATTTCCCAAGTTTCTCTAAAAAGTTAACCATTTCGTAAGCCCCAAACTTGTATTCAATATTCAATATATGACAATGCTTTTGAAGAGGTCAAAGTTTAAATTTAAAATAGAAAATGGTAGATGGCTCAACCTGGCGAAATAAAAAAAAGGTCTCAAAAAATATATTTTTTCACTTTAATCACATTATTAATGAAAAAGTCTTTTTCCATAAAGCGATGTTAGCAACAACCTTCAGAATGATATTTTTTAAATTTTTTTTTTTACAAAATTATTCATTTGAAAAAATCTCTAATTATTGCAATCCTCATTTAATTATACAAAAAACTAATTTATAAAGGATTTTCTTTTGTAATTTTTCTTAAATATCAAAAGATCAAAATTCATTCAAAATACCTGAATCTGAATTTTTGCTTGAACCAATGACCGACGGCATTGTAACACTTTGGCTTTTCGCGTTGTACTTTTATAATTACACATATGCAAATTAATTAATATTCATACACGTTAATTTTTCTGAGCTTCACACTTTCCCACACCTTTACTTTACACTTTGGTATTTTTTTAATAAATAATTTTTTGCAATTTGAAAGCGCTGCAACATTCTGTTACGTTCATGCTGTTGCTCTACCGAATGCCTACTGATGCTGTTGCATATAACGGCAACCAAACTCAATCACAGCTCGTAACTCTCAGTTTTTCTACATTTGCATATATCTACATTTGTAAGCAGACTAATTAACAAGCTGAGCTATTTAATACACTCGAAATGTTATTAAACGGATTGAGAAACTAGATAAATTAAATTTTGAGAATTAAAATTTTATAAAAACTAACATGTATGTATGTAAGAAAAAATTTTAAAATATATATGTACATATATACGATTTTTCACATTACCTATATTTGTTCTGAGATTATTATTATTACAACTAATTTTGTTAGCTCGATTTCATATTTTCACATATAATTTTATACAGAGTGTACTTTTACTCTAGTATTGGCATATTGATTTATGTATATACATATGTGCAATCAATTCCGTTGGATGCACTAATTATTGATACTTTCGCATGCCGACGGCATTCTACTTTATGTGCAAAGTAATCACATTTTTATGTATTTATTAAAATTAAAATAATTAAACAATCTCGAAATCAGGCGCATTTTCATTTTTATTTTATCGAAAATAGTTTAACACGCCTCCAATGGTGCATAAATAAAAAGGGTTACACATTTAAACTTATATAATTTATTAACGTAAATAATTTTCTTATTAAACATGAAATCAACTTTGAATGCTTGTGAAACTGTTTGAGCGTTCCAACTGTGTAGTTTTTTTTATTAATGTTTTTTTTTAAATGCTTCTACCAACACCTCGTCAATTACAAGAATGTTACAGTCATAATCGTATAGTGGAAAACAATGGTTGGGAATATTTATGTGACCAAGTGCATCCGTTATAAAAATCTCAATTGTTGCAGTATTATTTTTTTTATAAAAAAAGACTAACCAAGTTAACTTTGTTAATTAAGTTTTTAATAGATTCCAATTTTTTAAATTTTTTTTGTGAACAAATTGTTCTATATGTCGTCGAAGCTTTTCACACATAAATCTTTCAAGTGAGACTTTTTAGAAATAATTTTCTCTGCTTAATATTGTTTAAAAACCTTTGTCATCCAAACTTTCATGAAAAAGAATTAAATTTCATTTTTATTTAACATCAAGGGTTTTGCTTCAGCTCGCATGCAAAATGTAATGAAAATATTTATTTATGGTAAAGATAAGGTATTTTGAGTAAATATTCTTTTAGAAACGTGGAAAGAAAAAAAATTATATAAATAATATCTTACATAAATAATAAGATGCAATTAATTATTACCAAAAAAAAGTTTCATAACAAAAACTTGCTGACCATAAAAAAAAAAAATATTATAAAATAGCTACAGATTTACCTTTATTTCCAAACGTCAAATTATAACTATTCTGGGCACATTTTCATTTTGCTGCGTTTTTCCACATAACACATTTATCAAATATACATAAACTTTTTCGGAAAAAATTCACACCAAACTCTTTATGACATATAAAATTCTCAAAAACCGTAAAATGTTGCACATTTGGATTGAATATCTTTAAAAACTGACGAAAAATACTATATTTCAAATCAAGCGAGCTAATCGAATTTTAATTTTTTTTTTTAACTTTTTCACAGAAAGAAAATGCTTTTACTCAAATCATTTGTAAAAATTTTGAATAGAAAATTTTATGTATGTATGTATCTCACTTTTGGTCACTTCAATTTTTTATTTTCCAAATTTTCTAATTTAACAGATGAACCGTGATGTTCTCCACCCAAAAAAGTGGTCTTAAAGCGACCGTGACATTTGTACGAATGCAGAAATGTCCATTGGGTAACACGCTTTTATAGCCCTTGCTGGCAGCGACAGCAAATTGTTCTTTGAATAGTAGCGACAAGTGGTTGCAATGCCCAACACTTAACACATTTGCTGCATGCAACACAACACAATGAATGTCGAGCATACACAAACATGCAAACACACACGTAGATTGTTGAAAAACAACACCAATAACATAGAAATATGATTTGTATATATACAAAATTATGTTTCTGCTGTATACATCCATACATACATACATACATAATACCTCTTCATATAGAATTCGAGCAGAGTAAACGCCGCAATTGTTCGTAAATGTACTAAAACAGGTGGAAAATTGAAGCGCAAGCGCAACACTTTTTTCGGTTCATATATATTTACATAACACATACGCTTACACATTTTGCGCAAAGATCTTTTGTTGTGGCATACGACGATGGTAAAAGCTCATAAAATGGAAAAGGAAGTGGAAGTGAGTGTGCTTTACTCTCGTCAAAAACACGTTTCCGTTACGAGTAAGAGAAATTGCAGTTTCTAACTACTCACATACTATACATATACGTACATACGAGTATATACTTACGATGCAGACGTGGTGGAAAGCTCTTTGTAAGGACAATGTAATAATTGAATGAAGAAACTTGTAAAAAGAGTATGCATGGATATAAATACTTTAAATTAAATTAAATTACAAAAAAATTAAATAAATTAATTAAAATATTAAACTCAATGAATAAATATTAAACAATAATATATAGAAAAATAAAATAAGTGAAATAGTATATAATTAATAAAATCAAAATAAAATAAAATTTAAATGAATTATATTAAACAGAGGTGAATACAATCAAATAAAATTAAGATATTTTAAATTGCAATATATAATATAATATAATAGAATAAAGCAAAGCAAAATAGATACTTGAAATAAAATGACATCAAACAGAGCAGATTGAAATAAACCTAAATAATTATAGCTTAATTAAAATATAATATCATAAATTTAAGCAAAATAAATAAAATAAAATAAAACAAACTAAAGATGTATAGAATAAATAAAATAAATATAATATAATATAAAACTCAATTTAATTATAATAAACTTAAATAAAACAAAATATAATAACACAAAACATATTTTAATAAAATAAATTAAATAATATCGAAAATATAAATATTTTAAGTTTATAATAAAGCTAACTATTTATCAAGTGCACAACTTTGCTTCCGCCGTTTTTTTCCAAAATTAAAAGCTTTATTGCGAAAAAGTGCTTACTGATATATGATTCAAAGTATTGTCCTTTGCTAGCTACAACTTTCTCACATCTTTCCGGCAATTTTCGGATCCCGACTCGAAAAAAGGAGTCCTCTTTTGACGCTATCCATGATGCAATCCATTTTTCCAATTCTTTTAAGGATTGAAAATGTTGATCCGCCAGGCCGTCTGCCATCGAACGGAATAGGTGGAAGTCAGAATCTGGGGAATACGGCGGGTGAGGCAAGACTTCCCATTTCAGCGTTTCCAGGTACTTTTTGACCACTTTTGCGATGTGAGGTCGAGCATTGTCGGACTGGAGGATGACTTTGTCATGTCGCTCTTGATATTGTGGCCGCTTTTCTTTTGGCGCGCGACTAAGGCTCATCAGTTGCGTTCGGTAGCGATCTGCCGTGATGGTTTCATCCGGTTTTAAGAGCTCGTAGTAAATCACACCGAGCTAATACCACCAAATACAAATCATAACCTTGGCGCCGTGAATATTCGTTGAAACCACTCCCGACACGTTCTTTCACTCAGAGCAGCATCACCGTAAGTTTCTGAGAGCATTCGATGCGCTTCAGCTGAATTTTTTTTTCGAATTGTAAAAGAAAATAAAACTTCCCGCAAATGGCGAGAATTAGGCACATAAACGGACATTTTCGAGCGTGAATAATACGAAAACAAGAACAACTGTCACTGAAACGGCGATGACAATTCGTTAGGCATTCTCCACACTCACTTTAAAGGCATTATCATCTATGTATTTCAACCAGCCTCAGCCGATACAGCCACCTATCGGAAAACGGCGGAAGCAAAGCTGTACACCTGTTATATGTAAGCGTTTTGCTGATCTATTAGTACATACCAAACTATTAATGAACGTATCTTCCATATCGATAATTTTATCTCAACCCTTTTCCATGTATTAAATACAATTTTTACAGTTTTTCAAAAGTAAATATTCTTATAATTAAAACAGGCTTTGTTTGTTTTCATATATACGTAATTACATGTCCACCTTTGGCGCCCTATCAACATCGATCGAATAATGTAAACAAACAAATTGATTTATTGCTTCTTAACAAAGCTATCAAAAGCGTGTGCCAAATTTAGCATGTAGTTTAAAGATATGTCAAAATGCCAAGAATATAAAACACATATATACATACACACTCATGGAAATATTTATATGAGTACAGAAATGAGTAACATGAACCATATTACTTAATTTTCGAAACCGTAAGAGCGTGTATTTTTGAAAACTCTCGAAATTTTCATCATATCAAGCAGCCGCCTTTCAACCGTTGCCGGTTTTCCGGCGCGAGAACTCTTGTCTAGCAACACGTCTGCAATCGAGCGATATAAAAACATATATAAATACATACATACATACAAATAGATTTGCTTTGCACATAACAAATAAACGTCTTGGCAGGGCTTATTGCAAACTATTGTTGCTAGACATAAATATTTAGAAATTTTGAATTGCCAATTTACAAGCTGGTCCAACAACAAGGCGATTGTAGTCCCAAAAACGCAGTATTTCTATTCTTCTCTAAATTGGCTTAAATGTGACGGGTCGCAGAGATCTCTACTAATAATTTTTTTCTTTGCTTTTAGGCACATATAAATAATATAAGCAAGCATTAGGGTGTTAAAATATTGTAAGCGCAAACATTTGATTAAGAATTAAAAACATTTAAAATAATGGAGCAGGTAAAATGTAAAAAATGTCCTCATAAGTTTTTGCAATTTTCTACCGCTCGCATCGACGGAGGCAGCAAAATATAAAAAGTAATTTTTTTCTTGCCTATTTTTGGGATGCCCTAATGTATGTATCTCTATTTGAGTATCATTTAAGAATAGATGCACAACGTTATTTATTAGATTTCCTTTCTCACTTCGAAAACAAAAGCCGAAAGCGTTCGTATTTTTGAAACACTGAGAGATATTCGTGTACAATGGGCTATGGAAGGGAAATTTTGTGTGAATGAAATGTATTAAAAATATTTTTTTCCGCTTAAAAACGGTCTTTAGCGTAGTCCCACAAAAAAATTCAACGGTGTTAAATCGCAGGATCTCGGTGGCCATTTGACCACGCAAAGACGAGTGATAACGCGACCGGGGAATTTCTCTTGTAATAAAGCCATATTCGCTTGAATAGTGTGGCATGTGCCACCATCTTGTTGAAACCACATATTTTGCAAGACATGTGTTTCAACTGCCGACCGAAAAATACTCAGTTTCCATGCAGTCATGATAATCCGAATTAACAGTGACACCACAGCACCAAAGAGCGCACCAGACAGTCAGTTTTCTAGGGTAACGAGCTCTCTTCTATCATTTGGTAATTCTCGGATAAGTCTCCCCATATGCGGTAATTTTTCTTAATTACGCATCCCCCGAGTGAGAAATGTTCCTCGCGCTGAGGAAAATTTGGTTCGTAAATCTGCCGTCCACTGCTAGTACGGAATTGTAAATGGTCAGCCGTTTACAGTTGTTATATGAGCTGAACTTTATATAGATGTGGGTGTAAGCTCAAGAGCGACGCATAGTCCTTATTAAATCTGGAACGGATCCAGTCTCTTCAAATTTCTTTAAAATTTCACCAATTGCTTGAGTAGCTCGACGATTATGTGCACCATAATCTCCTCTTAAAGCACGAAACATGGCCACCTTTGAATCACTATTTTTCCAGCGAATTTTAACAATTTTAGCGCGTCGTGCGATTGTTAAGCTGTATATATTCCTTTACAGATTTTTACCTAAAACAAATAAATAACGCTTTCTAGCAAACAAATATTGGCCAGGAAAGCAGAGGAACTTTTTTAAAAAAAAGTTTTTTTTTTATTCAATAATTATTTTAATTTCTTTATAATTTTTCACAACAAATAATTCCCAGTGACCCATTGTATAGCCATAACATCCTCGAATGCATGTGTACCCAAACGACGATCACGAAGTTCTTGCAATTGAGCGGCGGCCAGTTTGAAATGAGAATTCCACCGCAACGGTAATTCGGTAAAAATACGCACAGCCACGGCTGTAGTGAATGAGCGCATAGTATTCATTTTGTATATTGTACAAGTACCTCGCCCGCCGTATTTAGGTTATAAATAGAAAATCGACGAATTTTCAATTCTTTTGAAGAAAATAGCAAAATATCTTCGATTTGTTCATAAAAAGCGTAGTTTTTCGTTAAAATCATATGGAAAGTAAAAGACCAGTGAAAAAGTGTGGAAATTAAAATGTTCGAATACAATATTTATGAAAATTATTTTTAATCTTTACATAAGTGGCTCGCCGTGAGAAAAAAGAAAATGCAATGAAAATACAGAAAAGAAAATTTCTTATTGTGAGTGAAAAACGAAGATGTTCAAAAATCTTGATACTTTGTGGCGGTGCAGCGCAACAAGCTTTTTTGATAAAATAGAATAATGCGAAGAATGAAGAAACGATTTTCATAAAAAAAATTACAAAAATTAAATGTGTTTTTCTTCGTCACAAATGCCATACAAATACACGCATATAATAAAAACGCGCTTTATGATTTGGCAAAATTTTTGCTTACTGATACTGAGCCTCTTCTTAAAGCATCAATCATCAATGTGGCAATAACAATGTATATAAAGTGCTCAAGTATAATATTTTAATTTCCTCTTTTATTGCGATTTGGCTAGCCGCAGGAATTTTCTTATTCACGCCTCTAGTTACATACATATGCATGTATATAAGTAGACAGCTTGACAAATTCTATCAACATTACGTATATACATACAAACATGCATACTCTAGGTATTTGTAAATTTATTTTATGTGTTTTTAAAGAAAACAAACAAAAATTTTAAATATGTCTCACACATAAATTTTTGCTCTCTCACTCATTATTTGTATTTGTTTAATTTCGAAATTCGAATTTGAAATAAATTCATACAAAAGCCGAATTAAATGTTGGGTTAGGTTTATATTCCATATATAAAACATGTCAATATTGCATGTTTATAACTGAATTGTTTATGAAATTTTATTCCTAAATAGTTTCAATATTCCACTTAATTAATATTTACAAAAATTTCAATTCAGAACATAATAAATTTTATATTAAATAGTATAAACAAATTTTTTATTCCTCTGCTAACTTTATTCTAAAAATTCTGGGAAAACATAATGTTTATAAATTTTGTTTATCTATAGCATTATTATACTTACATTGAAACAAATTACAAAATTCATAAGAACTATATTTTCCTTCGATTAATTTTATTTCAATAATATTGCTAAAATCTCAAGCGAGGTGAACTTAGACTTAGTACATAAATATTTTAAATACAAAAAGCTTGTTTCTCTTTTAATGTATTATTTTGGATTTATATGCAGATAAGAAATTCCTTTAATAGAAATCTGTTATGTTCCTCATACGCCCCGACAACCGACTGCTTTAACATACGAAGCCAATAGTCTTCTAAGCAACCTTAGCAGAAGTGTTGCCAGAATTTTCAGACACAATTCGATTGTTTTATTCGTTTTTTTTATGAAAAATGTACACTCATGTCATAGCTTGCAAAGAAGTATCGTATTCGATAGGACTATTGAACTATTTTCTCCATATTCTGGTGATTAACTTGAAGTGTGGCTTCTTAAAAAATCTATGAAATAATGCATAGATAATATATTTCAATATGAGGGCTATTTTTATTAATCTTTCCATACGCAAATCTTAAAATCTTACATAACTTGTAATTTTTATGTATAAGAGGCTTTTCAATAATGCAATAATAACTTTGAAAGGCAATCTGACAATTGGAAGAGAATTTGACAAATTCGAGTTATTCGTTAACTAACAAAAAGCTGCCGTGTGCTCCAGATGGCTCATGTAAATCTCCACTTGCGAAAATTATATATATTTCTAAACACCGTAAGATGAAAGCCAATAATGAAATTTATACAAATTTTGAAAAATTTAAGAAGAAAGATTTTTTTTTAATTTTGAGAACGTTCTTAAGGCCAAATAAAAGCATAATGATGCCATATTAGGCTTTTTATAAAATAATAAAATTTACTAGCAAAAAGCAATATTGAAAGATCACATTTTGCATGCCTCCCCTAACTCCTTAATTTGGTGTGGTGTTTAACCCATCATTCATAAAATGAAGGTTGTCTGGTCCGCAGGCTCCCGTATTCAATCGACCAACCAAGGAAATGGAAATGGAGAACTTCAATAAAAAAATTTTATGCGTCACATAAAATATACCATTTACCCAATTTAACTGAAGTATGTCAGTACCAGCAGAAGAGTTCTCTTCATAAGAGATAGATCAGGTTGAAAAGTTGAGTTGATTTTAACATGTACGTCTGGAGGTTTCATTCTTCCGCCATTTTTTGAGAAAATTCAATCGGCTTGGTGCACAGATGGGCTGTTACATTTAAACTTTCATTTTGTGGAAACTGGCCAGATCGCACCATTATAATATATACACAACCGATTTTTCTGATTTGAGTTTTCGGTTCAAAATGAACATGAAATTCGGTATTCTATACTGGTTTGAACAAATAAACAACAAACCTGATAACCGATTTGCTGAGATGAGTGATAAGGGCGTTAAGTCAAAAATCTGTCAAAAGAGGAACTGAAAGCGAGAATTTTGGTATTTAGCACACGTATAAATATAGACAAAAATCGGCGCCGAAAATCATTGAAATAGGAAAAGTTTATCACATAAACCGCTTCAAGCCTCTTCAGATATGAAAATTAATATTTTATTCTGAAAAGAATAATAAATTTGATATGGCCTTGAAAGGTACGAAGAAATCGACAGCTCTTCTTTCTGGTATAATTTAAATATATTGAGTTCTCTTACTCACATTTTGATTTGATCTTGTTGAACAAATTTTTCGCTGCTTTTTTATGACTGTTATTTATATCAGTGGTTTCAACTGGCATTTTAAATATTTTCATTCCGGAGCATTTTAAATTCCATCAGCGATATACACAGGTTATTGACATTTCCGCATATCGTCTGCTATCGATTCGATGACCTGCAATTTCAAAATGTTGCAGGAAAAAGATAAATTGCAAGTAATAATGTCAATTTATGAGCTTATTTACCGGAAAAGTATGAAAAGCAAATTAGTAAAGCAACTCAGAAAAAATCACAAAAAAAAGGGAAGAAAAAATCCACGAAACCTATCCAAAAGTACACAGGCACGAAATAAAATATGAATATGTCTACATTTAAATTTTCCTCTCATACATATGTCTGTATGTATGTACAAATCATCTCAAACAAATGACAAACAATTTCGATTTCCGCGTGTTTCTTATGTCGGAATGAAAATTTCCAAAAAAAAAAAAAAAAAAAAAAAAAAACTCCACCTACGCTATGCCCCATTTTAAGTAAATCGTACATATGTACACATACATATCAATAATAATACATTTATTTACATATACATATGTATGTATCTGAGTGTTTGCATATTTACTAATGAAACGCACTTCAGATGAACCATATCACCAGCCATTGATCGTTGCATCGCAGTACCGTTAATATGCTTAAAATAATATTTAGCCGGCTGCACCATGTCATCGACTGCTTGTTCTCTATACGTACATTCATACATACTTACATTTGTTTATACAAGCGCACGTTGCATCGCTGCTTCTTTATTAACAATATAAATGCCAAATGATGTGTTGCCGATTGCGTTGGAGATTGTTAATCATGATCGAACTTTATACGTCGGCAATAAAATTCATTCCAAGCAGTTGATCGTCATCGTACATCATTGGTTTAATATCCAACATAATTATTAAAGCAAATAGGCTGATTTTAATGTTTATTCGATGTGATGTTGAAGGGGGGAAATATGATAACTGATAAATTTGAAATTTTACTTGAACGGCATAAAAAAATAAAATAAAAAATAAAATAAATAAAATAAAAAGCAACGGTATAATTTTCCGAAAATTTTGAAAAATTCGAACAGAATTGCAAAACTTTTTCAAAATATTTTTTTTCTTTTGTTTAATTCCTTCAGAACTTATAACTATATAAAGCGAAGTAAAATCATTTGCGGTAAAATTATAGTAAACATTTAAGTGGTTTCAAAATTCCTCTTTCATAATATACTCGTAGTTTGAACCTTAACATTATCTCCAAAGTACTACATCTTTCAAACGACTGTCTCCTGAATTTTGCATACATCGATCCGCTTGAGGTAATTTTCGGCCACTTTATGGCACATATCGAGCGGTATAAACATTGGTATCGCCAAGACGATAAACAGATTGCATCGCCGAGATGAGCACCAACTTTTTGGAACCATATATTATCCAAGTCGTGTTCTTCAATTGCAGGCCACAGCAGGTGGGATATCATTCGGCTATTGCGATCCGAATCGACAGTGACAGTCTCGCCGTTGTCGATTTTTCGGCCGAGCTCCTTCTCCAATTTGTGGTTTTGCGTCTTGATGTTTTTCCAACAAATGCAGGGACCTACAGTTTATACTAAGCCGCCTCCGAAAGGCTGGTGGTTTTTTTACGAGGAGCCTTGATTTCATGTCCGAAATACACTCGGAGCGGTTGACATTCCCTGCCGAGGGGCGGCTGCAATTTGAAAATTTAACTATAATTTTGGTATTGGTAGCACCGGGATATGAACCAGAGCCTTCCGAAGGTCACACTTTTACTTACTGTAGCGAAATTTGATGTGGAACGAGCAAAACGATGACGCAAGGGCCTTACAATGTCTGTAACCGATCCAGTCTCTTAAAAAATCTTTGAAACCATGAAAATTAGATTAGGTGGACCATAATCTTCTCTGGAAGCCCAAAACACCTTTGAACCACTAATTTTGAAGTAGGTTTTAACAATTTTGACGCGTTGTACGGCTGTTAAGCGATCCATTTTCATAAATTCATGACTTTTAACCAAACCAAAGCTCGTTTAGTTTGACAGTAGTTAACAGAGTTGTATCTGTATTTTTGAAGCCACAAAATGGAAAACCCTAAATAACAGTGCTAAAAAATTTCATTCAGTTTGGTAGAATAATAGTGTCATGGCCCCGTGTGTTAATCATGAAAACAACAAATACCGAAATGATGATTATTCATTATACTTGAAAACGCTATTTTTTAAATTGAAATCGCAAACGCAGTCTGACGATAATTTTCAAAACAACAGCAAATACCGAAAACTATGTACATTTCGCTAAACGCACATAAATACATTAGCTCCCAAGTGAAAAATTCGATTTAACATATTTGTGTTTACGTTTATTCGCAGAATTCACGAATTTATTTGTATTATTCTTTCGCTAAATAAAAGACGAGAAACATAAACATTTGGCGCGTGTTTTAGAAACGAAAAAAGAAAACTTGAAGCAAATTCAGTTGAAAATACGAATTTATTTGTTCTGCTGCAGGTGCGTGCACACACATACATGCATACTCGTATGTACGCGGGCAGCGTGTGGAAAATTTAGTGCAATCTTTTAATTACTAGTCGAAAAGTATTCCAAATGTGACTGAAAAGAAACAAAAAGAAAAACAGAAATTGGCTTAACTAGTGTAGAGTTCGTGACAATTGCGAAGCAACGGATGTTTAACGGGTTTTTATATTCATATTTACGTGAAAATTGCTCAATAGGAAACTAGTGTTAATGACAAATCCCAGTTTACAAGCGTACACAATCACATTCGCTCGGAAGCATATGACGTCATAATGTCGAAAAAACCTCGAGGGAATATACACAAAATTCGAGAATTCGAATTGGAAAAGGTGAGTGTTAACGAAAATGCTTTCCATCAAATCGTTTAAGTCGTACTATTGAATTTGTTATTAACTAAAACTAATAAACACAAGATTATTTAATTTTTATTAAGTAAACTACGAGGCCTTGTTGTTTGTATGATCTGAATATTTGTTATACAACAAAGAAAAAATGGTAGAAGTGACAGCTGTTTCGGAGATCACCACATCTCCTCATCAGACTTCTTATGGCAGGGATCGAACCAACGGATCCTGACTTAACAGGCGAGTGTTCTACCACTGCGCCAACATCAGTCATATAATTTGTTGTTGTATTATTCAATTCATTATTAACCAACAACTATTAAGTGCGCTAATTAAGCCGCTATTTTCTTAACAGCTTGGTTAGTGTGTTGTGTTGGAATCCTCTATACTTTCAGGCTTTGACTGAAAAATGTATAGAAGGATTAAGGTATCAGGTTCAACTTATTTTGTGAGAAAAACTTCTAAAGATAATTTTGATGTCACTTTAACCCTAAAAAAAACGTTCTAAAATTACAAAGAGTAAAAATAAAATACATAACAAATTTTGCGTTAACAGGAAAAACCGTAAGCTTTATTCAATGTCCCGTGTGACATCGAAAAACAAAGTCAAAAGTAATCTGGATGGCTGCAGATGTTTATATTAGATATTATTTTTAAGTCCAATTTGAAGTCGTGAACGTGTCCGCATTTAGAGTAAAACCTTTAATTTATTTATTTGATTTTTATTTATTTTATATAAAATAAAATATTGAAGGAAGCCGAACCTTCGACTTGGCGTCATTAAAATCATTTCTTTCGTATTTTTCATATATATTAAGTGTCAGGTAAACATGGAAGCTATTTTGGGCCGAGCTCCTCCTTCAATTTGTGGCATGCATCTTGAAGTTTTCTCCAACAAATTCAGGGCTCGATATCCCCATTTTTTTATTTAAATTATTTTTCTGTGAGTTTTGTATGTTGATCGAACCAAGATTTGAACCCTGGCCTTCCGAATGCCAATACACACTGCTAACCGTTAGCATTCTTGGCGATCATGTCTTAGGTTAGGTCTCATCAGTCTCCATTGTGTGGTTTTCAAAAAAGCAATACTTTTTGCGGAGTGGGTCCTTTTGACAGCTGCTCCTTGATTTATACTTAACGTATTGAACAACGTTTGCAAATGGTGCTAATTTCATCTCAAAATAATGATTGAGTTCGTGCGAACGCACCAAATTTATTAGATTGGATAATGCGTATCCTCAGAGGCATCGGAAATGATGCATGCAGCTGTGGAGTTAGTATCGAAGGAGACCGAATCAATCCATCCATCATATATAACCCATTCACCTCATGAAAGATTTTGCGGAAGAATCCTGGTTTGAGGGCCTACGAAACGAACTCGTGTAAGAATTAAAAGGGACCTGCTTTGCACTTTTGGTGAATGGGCCAAAAACGAGAGGTCCACCGATTTCGATTTTCCCAAGAAAATTTAGTTCAGCGATGAAGCTCACTTTTTGGTTGAATGGGTATGTTAATAAATAAAATAATCGCCATTTTTAAGACGCCTTTACAACCACAAAAAGTCACCCTGTGGTGTGCTTTATGTACACTCTACTCTTCAAAAATGAAGCTGGAAATAATTTTACGAAAAAGGAGAAGGCTGTGGAGCCAAAATTAATAACTTTTTCGTGGAGGATGTTGATATGGTCGACGGCGCTTATATATATTGTCTGCATAAAAGATAAATATGTACATACATATACGAGTTCACTAAAAGTTCTTTTCCACTTTCAAAGTGTGATTCGTTTTTGTGGATATTTCCGAAAATTATCTTATCTGCACAGAAGGGGATAAGAATCGTCATACATGACTAATGACCAGAAAACGCCGCATCTGTCATATATTATATATACATATATATACATAGCTACATCAATATTTTATGTATGTCTAACTAAAACGTCAACTATACATATATGTATGTATGTAGTATATAGGTAGGTAGAACTACATATTTTCAACTTTTTATATAGAGTTTTTCTCGTTTTTTATACATACTTCCATGTGTATGTACGGCATGTGATATATGTACATATATATATGTTTGCATATAATGTCGTAATAAATAGACGAAAACACATCGTGACGATTAAAATACTTTGGCCCGAAGCCAAAGCGAAATCTTTACGCGGCATGCAAATGAACATTGAAAGCGTCGCACTTTCAAAAATATATATGTATGTATATTATTGTTGTTTTATTGTTTGTTCTTCTTCTTTTGTTAAACGAGAAAAATCCCATAAAATTTGAATTGAATGTGAAACCACAATCGCATCCTCAGGAATTGTTTGAAATGAAAATATTCGATTGGCTTATACATACATACATACATACATATGTAGGCATACATACATACACATATGTATTTATTTTTCACAATAAAATGATTTTAAAAAATAAGTAGGATTTATAAAAATTAAATCTAATTTGGAAAAGGTGACAAGTTGTGGACCGCCATACCCTTGGGAGTGACCAGCAACGATTCTTCTATATAAGCTTCAAAAAGCTCACAACTTCCGGTCTTAGACCAAATGTCCTCTGGGCAGCTAGCAAACATTTGAGCACATTATGAGACGAGTCAAAGTGAGAGGCGGAGTCGCCCCACGGTTGAGACCTACCACATAAAAATATACTCTAAAGAAAAATCTAAAAGTTTCCCTTGACGACCCCCGCAAACGATTTAAGAATCAGAAATTAAGGACATGTACCTAGAACGGCTGCTCCCTTAATTGGAAAAATGCCGCTGCTTAGTTGGTTAATGTCCTCAAAACACTAAAACTGAGAGCACCGCTGTACAAGAAGCTGTGATCACCACGGGGAAAAGGGGACAGTGGAGCGATATCTCTAACTCGGCAACAGCCGGAGATGATAAAACTGAAACACCAACCGATGATGATGGAAAAAATGTTCTATTACCTGCCTGCGACGGGGTTCGAGCAGCCTTTGCCAGTTTAAAAAGCAACAAAGTGACAGGAGTTGATGGCTTACCGGCAGAGCTTCAAAGATGGAGGAAAGGTGCATGAATCAGCTTCTTTGCAGAATATGTTCGGACGAAAGCAAGTCCGACGCTAGGAATTGAGTGCAGATGAAGAAGCTACAGGTTTGCCCCAACACCGCCCTCAGGTTTGCGACAGGAAATGTCGCTGGGGCATCACTTGCACAACGGAGCATCTATGCTACGAGTTAAGGAGCATAATGCTCTGCTGTGCAGGCAGGGAGCACCTTAATAGGCACTTAATAGAAGCTGAACCTCCACCTAGGTACATCAGAAAGGGAGTACTAGATTTAAAGGACACAATCCAGCCACATGTGTAACAACCGCTGGACAGAACGGCGTACAGACAAGCGAACGAGTGAATGACGTGCTCGGAATAAAATCACCACCCATAGCACACAACGAGCTCGAGCTACCTCGAGAGACCCGCGTGACCTTGGCACAACTTAGGTCTGGATACTGTAGAAGGTTAAACTCCAACGTATGCCATGCATGTGGAGAGTCACCACAGGACACTAACCCCCTCTTCGCATGCCCCTTTAAACCAACTCTTCTAACCACCCTCTCCCTTTGGTCCAATCCCATCGAAATAGCTCGTTTGCTGGACCTCCTAATAGATGACCTCAGCGACTTAGATTAATCAAACCTGTACTTAAGCGGTACAGCAACAACAACAACATTGTATTTGAATGGAGTTTGAGGGCCTAACTTAGGTCTGGATATTGTAGCAGGTTGAATTTCTACTTCCTTTTACTACCAGACTCCACCCAAAAATACCCAGCGTATGTCCTGCATGCAATAAGTCCCCCCCACGACACTAACATCTCTTTACATGCTTTTATTATTTCTGACATGATGTAAGAGAACCTTATAAAAATTCATCAGCCATTCGGCGGAGGTTAAGAACAAGCTGTAGATCCGTTTTTTGTTGGTAATACAATAAGATGCGCTCCACGAGTCGGAAGTGGAGCTCGGCCGCATATCGCTTAAGCAGTTACAAAGCACCAAAATATTTTTATTTTTTACATATAATTTTTCGAAGAATCTTAATCCAAATCTTTACATTGAAAGCCATAAAAAAATCCCATCAAAGCTCAAATACTTATAGAAGATCCCGTAATGTGTTCTATTTTACAGATCCATTTAGTCGATGAATTCGACATTTTACAAATAGTTGGAGAAGGATGGTTTGGAAAAATTTTGCTGGTCGAACACCGCGGCTCCCAAACCGAAATGGTGTTGAAAGCCGTGCCAAAACCATACGTCTCGATACGGGACTTCTTTAGAGAATTCCACTATGGACTGCATCTGGGTATTCATAGAAATATAGTGACCACATACGATGTGGCCTTCGAAACAGCCGGTTTCTACATATTCACACAGGAGTATGCGCCTCTGGGTAAGCAGCGAACTCAACTACGCTAACGTGAAATTTTGTCTATTATATATTTTTGGTTCTCATCAACGTACTGAAGGTGATCTCACATCAAACATGACCGAGAGTGGTGTTGGCGAGGAATATTCAAAGCGAGTGGCTAGACAGATTGGCGCAGCATTGGATTACATGCATTCAAAGTAAGTAACGTCCGTAGATACTGTGAGTCTAGTGAAATTGAAATGAGTGCAATTTTACACTTACTCGTACGTACCAATACAGAGACATAGTACACCGGGATGTGAAGCTGGATAATGTGCTGATTTACCGGTCGGATTTCACACGCGTCAAAATTTGTGACTTTGGCGAATCCTATCAGGCAGGCACCATCGTGGAGCGACGGAATGAATGGCTGCCTTACAGTCCACCAGAAGTATTAGAAATTAAGCCGGAAGGCACATACACGTGAGTAAAGGCGCTGCTTAGCGGTTCCAGTTCGAAATAACTTCCTTTCTTCTCCACAGGGCTGAGCCCAGTCACGATGTCTGGCAATTCGGTATTGTCATCTTTGTCTGCCTGACCGGTTGTTTGCCTTGGCAAAAAGCCGCATCCGATGACCCTCGTTATGTGCGCTACCTAACGTGGTTTGGTGCGAATATTCTGCCAATGCGTCGAACTCCGAAACTCTTTAAGTTGATCACATCACGCGCCCAGCGCATGTTCAAACGATTTCTAGATCCACGTGCAGAACGTCGACCGAAGAATTTAACTGATTTAGCAAAGTTCCTTGATGATCGCTGGTTAACAAAGACAGCTGAAAAAGAAATGGCTGAATATGAAACCGATGAACTCTGTCCGTCCATGTATTCCTTCCACAGCAGCCCCGATGAAAAGAATCGAGTACTCTACACGCTGGCGAATTGTGGCTTAGAGACGAATGTGGATCGGCAATCGAAGAAGAATCGTATCAAAGATTGGATCGAAGCTTCGGTTATAACAGAAGAGGATGAAGTAAGTGCCATTCTCCTTATGATGGAGTTAATAAAGTATAAAAATGTCCACTAATTTTCGACTACAATTACTTTTCTTTTACAGGAGGAACTTGAAGACGCTTCACCCTCCTCATCTGTTTCTCGTGAGCCTGTCGCTGGACACATCTCTTCCATACGCTCAACATTGGACAAAACCAAATCAATCAACACCACACTCAAAGATGCCGCCCAGAAACACTTCGATCCTCGTACCGGCGCTCTCCAAGAAGGTCCCAGCGAAATGGGCGGCATTACGCAAACATACCAAAAGTCTTACAGCCCCTCGTCAATGGGCAACGCGTCTACCGTCAATAATGGTGATAGCCTTTGTGGAAGTCTGCTCACATTGGGCTCACGACCCGATCTACTCCAAAGTCACTTAGAAATATATAATTCTGAATTGAATTTAAATCGTTTAGGTGAGCATAACAACGCCGCCGATTTCTACGGTCATAACCAATCGCTTAGCAGCAGCAATTTACTAACGGTCGACTACGGCACAATGCACAAGAGTGACACCTTGGCTAAGAAATCAGTGGGTTTAGACACACATGGTCTACCAAATGAGTATAGGAAGAGCGCGTTAAAGCGGACAAAATCTGATTCTGTAAAGACCGTTATGTTCGCTAGTATGCCTGCAATCAATAACAGTGAAGCTTATGCCTCTGCTGGGCTCAAGTTGCCTACAAAGCAACCGCTAAAGAATGCTACTAATCAAAAGCTAACCAGTGCTAATACCCCACATGACGCTTCTTTCTCTTCAAATGTAAATATTACTAATGACAGCAATGTGCTCACAGGGAACGTCGACGTGGTTAAGCCGAACTCTTCTGCCACCTTAACGGGGCTGGCGAACGCCTTCCATTCTCTTGCCTCCATTACATTACCAAGGTCAGACACACCTGATAGACAGCAGCAGCAACAGCAGGTGCAACAACTACAGAAACAGCAACAGGCTCAACAACAAGTTCGGCAACAACAGTTCGCAACGTATTACTTGAAGCAACAAGAAAATGGTTCCTCAGTCAGGGATAGTGCTTACGGCTCAGCAGAGGTAAGTGAGGGTCCTTCGAGAACAGTAAGCTACTCCTCCATGAAGCCGCAGCTCAATGGAAATTCCGAGCATCTCAACGGACTCCAACAGCAAAAGCAACTGGTATCCAATAATACCCGGGCATTAAGCCCGGATGGACGTCAGCGACCGCACCAAACTCAGCAGATTTATCGAGGTGCGCGAACGACTGTTTTAAAGGATTCGGCTTACGATCGGGTCCATGTTACAACAAATAACAACAGAAATCGAAGATAAGCCAAGAAATATACGGTTAATAGAGATATCCATTCAAACGAAAGTGATACCACTGATGCATACATGCACATATGTATGTCTAGTTTTATAGTCCGCTCTTCGCCCTTACATTTGTGAAATATCCCATTTTATAAACCTTATTATAAATAATAAGAAAGTAAATAAATAAAACCAATTCTTGCTCTGGTTGGAACCATTTTTGTTTTCAAAATAAATTCCGATTACACGGGCCCTACAAGGCAGCTCGAGATCTTTACAAAGAGAAAGAATGTTTATGGGGTGACGATCAATTAATGGCATTTAAGTCGGGAGGTAATTGGTCGCGTCCAGTAAAATACTATGGAGAGGCCTCTCCGTCTGGTTCAGGATGACGCATCTGTTTGTCACCGTAATATGTAAATAACACTAGTATACGTTATTGGCTGCTTGATTCTCAAAGAGGCAAGGAACGACAAAGCCTTAAGTTTTCGACTTGGTTGGGAAAAAGCGATTTCCGCCCGAATTTCATTCCACGCTTGTGGGTTTACAATGATGTAATAGTAGGAGCACCCTTTAACTCCTCCATATGGCGTATTGTGGAAAGTCGATCTGTTTTGGTAATGAGATCGCCATTGGATCTAACAAAGCTAAGTCTTACGCTGACAAAGGCGCTTGAGGCTAGCATAGATTTTGCTGCGGATCTTAGTTACGGTATGTATGTAAAGGAATACCAACTATCGAATGTGTCTGGTTGTTGGTAGCCGTACGCTAACCCCGCTTAGGTACAGGTTTGATTAATCTAAGTCGCCGAGGTCATCTAATAGGAGGACCAGGAAACGAGCTGTTTCGACGGGATTGGACCAAAGTAAGAGGGAGGTTAGATGAGTTGGTTTAAGGGGCATGTTAGTGTCGTGCGGAGACTCTCCATATGCAGGGCATACGTTGGATATGCTGGGGTCGAGTCTGGCTAAGTGGAGTTTAACCTGCTACTAAGTTGTGCCAAAGTCTCGCGGGTCTCTCGAGGCAGCTCGAGCTCGTTGTCTGCTATGGGTGATGATTTTACACCGAGCACGTCATTCACTGGAAGGGAGTCTTTGAAGGTGTGGACTGACTCCTAGTCCTGTCCAGCGGTTGTGGCATATGTTGCTGGATTTTGTCCTTTAAATCTAGTATTCCCTTTCTGATGAACCTAGGTGGAGGTTCAGCTTCTATTAGGTGCCTATTGGGTTCTGCTTGCACAGCAGTGCATTATGCTCCTTAACTCGTAGCATAGATGCTTCGCTGTGCAAGTGATACTTCGGCGACATCAGGAGGTTTCCTGTCGCAGCCCCGAGGGCGGTGTTCTGGCAAGTCTGTAGCTTCTTCATCTGCGTCTCGTTCGTCCCCCAGATCGGTGCAGCAGAATTTACGACCGGCCGGCCAATTGCTTTATATGTTGCCAGCATAGCTTCCTTGCCTTTACCCCAAGTGCCGTCGGCTATTGCGGCTCTGGAGTTTTGCGGCAATGTGGGTCGTATGCGGAGTGAAGAAGTGCAGGCTGTCTAGTGTCACTCCCAATATCTTAGGGACACCTTCATATTTAGTTCAATCCTGTTTTCCTTCGTCCGGCTGGTGAAGAGGGTAGCCGAGGATTTTGTCGGCTGTATTTTTAATTGTCGTGCAGAGAAAAAGTGAGAAAGATCGGCAAGGTAGCAGTTCACTTTCGAACAGAAGTCAACAATATCCTGGCCAGACGCCATTATCGTACAATCATCGGCATACGAGGCTAGAGAAACTCCTTCTGGTGGAGGGAGTTGCGAAATATAAAAATTAAGTAGCAGCGGCGAGAGGACACCATCCTGCGGAACTCCCTGTTTAATTCACCTCGGAATATTACCGGTGATTGTCGATCACTCAGGTAGCCCATGACACACCTCTGCAACCCCGGCGGTAATGAGGATTCCTCAATGTCTGTTAGCAGCACTGAATGATTGACTGTGTCAAGAGCTTTTGACAAATCCGTTACCAGGACAGTTCGCACGCAGGGTCGGATTTGGTTAAGGCCATTGACTATCTAGGTGTTAATGGCGTTTAGTGCTGTTGTGGGGCTGCGCACTTTTCGGAAGTCATGCTGATGTGCGGCTGTACGCAGAAGGTGAGTAAAGGTCGGGAGCAGTAGACCCTCAAGTGTCTTCGCTACTAGGGCGAGCAGTAATCGAGCTGGTTTCCCCGGTTTGAGTGGCGGGACCACCCTGCCTGTTTTCTACACGTCAGGTATCATTAGGGTGGTCAAAGACAAATTGAGGACCTTAGTGAGAAATTCTGCTCCTGCTGGTCCGACATGTTTGAGCATCAGCATGCTTATTCCGTCGGGGCCGATGGATTTGGAGCCTTACGCCTCCCCGATGACCCCCTGGAGAAATCAAGCGCCGCGCTGGTGTTTGGCATTTTGCGCATACGGCGGGTTACACGTCGCTTCGTTTTGTCTACCGAAGGATGTTTTACACTGCAGTCGGCTAAAATAGCTCGCGCATCTCTTCGGGTCATGACCGCAGCTGCCCGCTTGTGTTAAAGGAGTTGATTTTAAGGGGCATGCGAAGAGATGGTTAGTGCCATGCGTTGACTCATTGCACGCAGGACATAAGTTGGATATGTCGGGATCAAGCTACTCCTTATTCTAACTGATGAACAGAATCGTGATTTATTCTTTAAACGGAATATATAATGGAGCACTTAAGCGACCTGTAGGAGAGAATACCCTCACGAACTACTAAAACAGTCCGGGAGCAAGGTCAGTTGTTTAGGTGTTTAATGCGATGATATTGTGGGTGACGGGCAGACGGGTAAATTCCTCAACCAACATTGTGCAACCCCTTCCTTATTTCTACATATTAAGAAAATGTTAACTATAAGTGTTGAGAACAGATTGAACATCATCACTAGTGAAATAAAGCATTCCTTCCCCAAAGACCTTTGCAGCTTGTGCAAAAATCATCTCCGAACACTTGGGAAACAATCCGATTTCCACTTGGGTCATCACGATTCCTGGAATTATGCAGACATTTGAATGCGACGGGTTGCACGCAAGGCGAGTACAGAACTACAATTTAAAAGCTGATGCGGATGAGGCGGTATAAGTGGGCAAAGCAGTTGTGCTAGTCAATCGTCATGTATTAGCGGATATTTTGCTCCTTTTTTTTAGTCCGGCGCTAGTTTTTTGATAGCAGACGTCAAACTGCAATTGCTGTTAATTCTTGTTGAAGATATGTTGCTGTTGTAGCTAGGTATTACCAATCACATACCCTCAAGCACATACAAACTTTTACAAGTGCATACGTACATGTAAAAAACACAATCGCATTAAGAGTCGAATAAAAAAAAAGCACTCATGTCGGCTGCAATATTCTTCATTGAAACACTTAAGAACAAATTAGATTTTTGTCAATCCTTAAAAAACGTAGACTCCTTTTATTTCTATAATTTACAACGGCCAAGCGTTTAGTAACAGCACAATGCAATATGCATTGCAGAAAGTTGTTTCTTGTCCATTTTCTTGGATTTACTTAAGTGGAATAAACCTGGAGCTGTGAGTGGCACCAATACCGGGTCTACCGTGCTTAACAGGTTTGTATGTCAACGAGAATTCTCCCAAGTAGTGACCAATCATCTCAGGCTTGATTTCAACCTATAAACAAAGAAGAAAAAGCATTAGTCACCTTAATCGCTGAGGCCACTGAAGGGTTTACTTACCTGAGTGAAGTCTTTACCATTGTAAACTCCGATGATGGAACCAGTCATTTCGGGAACAATGATCATATTTCTCAAATGAGTCTTTACAATTTCTGGTTTCTCATTTGGTGGAGCTTCTTTCTTGGCCTTACGCAATTTCTTGATCAATGCCATTGGCTTACGCTTCAAGCCGCGGGAGAAACGCCTGCGAGCACGACTGTGCATCAGTTCAACCAACTGGTTGCTGTAAATAACAGAAAAGATTAGATTCTCAAACCGAAAATATGTATCATAAATCCAGCGAAACTTACTTGGGCATATCCAACAACTGGTCGAGGTCCACACCACGGTAGGTGAACTTTTTGAAAGTACGCTTCTTCTTGAGAGTTTCATCGACCTGTATTTAGAAATATACAATATGATTACATTGAACTTCAACAAACTTTTCTGTCAGATTGTATGACAAAAGTTGCAAATATATGCGCACGAAACACAAAAATCATTATCTTAATACACATTTTGCACAAATTAGCCAACTTTTTAGTCGGATGGAAGGTATTTTTAACGATTTTTTACACAAAATTTACCTCAGCCATCTTGACGTTTCTGATATGCAGAACGGAAAGAAAAATAGAAGGGAAGAGTGCTGCCAAATCCGAAAAATTTGGTAGAGTATCTGATTGTTGGTACGTCTGTATATTTTTTATTGTGAATGCCACTTTTAAAGGGTTGCATCTTCTAACGTAACATATATGCTGACAATTCTCGTTAATAGATTTTACCAAAAAATGTTTTTAATAAAAAGGGAAAAGAATTGTGAATCAATTTGAAAAATTTTGTAAATACGAATTCTTTGGTTATGCATACCGCCTGAATTTGAGAATTTAAAACAATAAAAGTATAAAAGTAAGTCTTTTGCATAGTTGCGAGTTCATATTTTCCAGAATTTATCTAATTTCCTAATACCAAAGACCGTATATTTCCCCAATTAATAGATATAATTTGATTCCCAGTTTTTGTATTTCAAACTTGGATTGGTTAACGTAATTATATGTAACATGGGATCAACCAAGTATGATCCCTGCATTTAAGCTATTAAACATTAAACGATGGAAGAAACACTAACAATTTTCTTCACTTACAAGCGTATTTTGTCGAGGTAACAAAATTTAGCTAGGAATTAAAATTTACCATTCAGTAAATTTTGTTACCATTTCGTATTGAGCTCACTGTTGCCCTGTAAAGTTTATTACCAGCGAAATAGGAGGTAACAAAAGTATCTGCTGTTTGATTTTGCGTTGTTAGTTTCAGAAAAAATAAAAACCTAAAATGGGTAGGCATATTTTAGGCCTGGAATTCATTGAAGATGAAGAAAAAAGTGCAAAAAGCCGTATTTTAAGAAGTTTTCGAGACAAAAAATTTGCCTTATAATTTGTAAGATATCGTTTTCATTCAGCTTTTTTGGTTGTTCAGACATATTTTCCATAATTAGGTTCAAATATTTATGATTTAATTTTGTGTGCACCGTCTTCCATTTCGATGTGAATATTTTTCTTTGTACTTTATCAACTGACAAATGTAATTTGACATGGACGAAAAAAGCAGTGCTGCCAAATTTTTTGCAAACATTGTAACCAGTTCGCCAGAATACCAAATTCAATTTCGGGTGTTAAGGAAAATTAACAAAATTTACTTTACCGGTAACAGAGAGAATAGGCCTGTTAGTGGGATATATCGCCGACCTTTGGTTATTGCCGGCCTGCAAAGACAATTTATTTTATGACATGATTTTTTTAGACTGGGCATTAATATACAATCTTTGACAAAATTGTCATATAATGTGACGTCATAGTAGAAAAGTAAAATATAAAACAAGCTATTCTTAACAAGTTATTCATTGCATTAACACTTACTCGAATTCCTTGTATGTATACATCCGTTGCTATTGTAGCGGCTTTTCCAACCCCCTTTAGAAATTGGCTAATCAGTCTAAATCCTCAACGTTTTTTGTGCTTTTTCTAGTAAACTACAGTTTAGTTCTCAGTGAATTTTTGGCAGCTGTTTATTTTGCTAACAATGATATTTTTAAAAACTAAATTTTAAATATTTACTTTTTTGCTTTAATCAAAGGGTTCAATAGTACTTCTCCAAACTTTTAACTGCTAGACTTATATTTATTTACGGTTGAGACAAACCCATTTGAATTTTTTTTTAAAATATATTATTTTTCTTTTGATTTGGATTTCTCCAACCTTTCGACTTTCTTTACCAGTTCATCTATGTTCAGATCATCGGGAATATTGAAGCCACCCTGAAATCGAAGAATTCAAACTTTTGTTACATAACGAGTAATGAAATAATTTTGGCTACATACCTGTCTCTCCTGCAAGTTTTGTATTTTTCCCTCGATAATTATTTTATTACGTTGCATTTCAGATTCGGAAATTAAGCGCTTATTAACCGATGTAGTAAATCTGCAAACAGTAATGAAAACACAAACTGTATGTACATTAAGAATTAGAAAAGTTACTTTTCAAGCACGTTGCATTCCGTTATTTCCTTCTGCAAATGTTGTTCCTGTTCCTTTATTTCCGATTGCATCTTTCCTATGGTTAAAGTGTTTTCTAAATGTTCTTTCATCTTCGTGTAATAGAATTCTTTGAGGTATTCTAAATGAAGGTCGTGCAGCTGCGTCGCTTTTTGAAGTTCCGCACACTCTCCCAACATAGAACTAATATCATCGGGCAGGTCACAAAGTTCAAGTCCCACTAGCCGCAATTGATGCTCGTAGTGTTCGCCTAGAAGATAGTTATTTACTTATTAACTTAAAACTAAAAAGGGAACAAACTTACTCAACTTTTGTAATGCTTGCACTTCATCTTGTAATTGAAAATTATCTGGAAAAAGCAATAAATGAACTGATATATATTATAAGTTATTCGTTTGTGTTATAATACCCATTATTCTTAAAGCAAATCAAATTATGCTTATGCCGGCTTTTAATTTTGAATTGAATGGTGAAACATCAGCTGATTCCTGCCCAGCAGTGTTACCTGAATTGTGACAATTTGAAGGGGGAAGGCATCACTTACCTTCGCGCCATCTGAATCTCAATTTTGGCAAACCAGTATTGTTTTTGGCGCTTAATCGCTAACAGCTGTTCAGAAAATGTTTTATAAAAAAAAATATCCGTGAAGTAGATTGTTAAAAAGAAAATGCATGGCGATATAACTCAAATAAGACGTTTTTTAAAAGAGAGATTGCAGCGGGATTATACTACATTGCATGGTCATGAAGCAGAACGTGAAAATGTCAGGCAATTACTTCAACGCACAGCAGAGTTGGGCGAATCAAATTCGCTTTTGCTCATTGGTCCGCGAGGATCAGGGAAAACTACTGTGAGTGTAAAATATTAGTTCTAAAAATATGTTAACAATTATCCAACATATACATTTTTATATTTTAGTTAATTAATGCAGTGCTTGCCGATCTCATATCATTGAGTGATTTTCAACAAAATACAATACTCGTGCATCTAAATGGAAATTTGCATACGGATGACAAATTGGCTTTGAAATCAATTACTGTACAAATGCAATTGGAAAATGCTGCCAATGGCAAGGCATTCGGCTCATTTGCGGAAAATTTAGCATTTCTTTTGGCTTGCTTGAAATCGGGGAATAAGCGGTCTAAAAGCGTAATTTTTATATTGGACGAATTCGATCTTTTTTGTGCACATCACAATCAGACGCTCTTGTACAATTTATTTGATGTCTCCCAGTCAGCGCAAGCACCAATATGTGTGATAGGCACAACATGCCGACTGGACGTTATAGAATTGCTGGAAAAGCGAGTGAAATCTAGATTTTCTCATAGGTATAACATTTTCTTGAATTCAAAATTGATTTTTTTTTAATTTTCCTCCATAAATATGATTTCTTTATTACAGACAAATTTTTATTTTCCCTGCGGCTAATACTTTCGAAAAGTATTTAGATCTGTTTAAGGAGTTATTAAGTATTCCAAACGAAAAAGAACTGAAGCAAATCACAGAACGTGTTAACGAATTAAAATTATTAAATTCAGATGAACTCACTATGCATCGTAACCATTACAATCCTGCCAAGTACAAATTTAACAAAAAATATATTGATTCATGGAACAATAGCGTAATTGTCTTAACAGCCGACGCGAAAGCACCAGCATTGTCCTCATTGCGAACTTTGTACGAAATCGATAAGACTGAATCGTTTCTAAAATTATGTTTATTCCGTCTGGTGGCACAACTGGATCCAGATTCACAACAACGTATCACAGCAGAGCAGTTATCTGAAATAGCCGCTACATACACAGCTGATCCGAGAGTAGAATTGCTTTGCGGACTATCTGTTCTTGAGCTCTGTCTCGTTATTGCCATTAAACATCATTCCGAAATTTACGATCGCGATCCTTTCAATTTTGAAATTATTTTCGCGCGTTTTGCCAAATTTTCTAAGATCTCTACCACCATGCAGGGCATAGAACGCGCAGTTTCGTTGAAGGCTTTCGAACGTTTGCGTCATATGGAAATTATATTACCAATTTCAAGTGTAGTTGGCAAAGTACAAAAGGATTTTGAAATGCACCGGCTTGCGTTGACATATGGCCAAATAAAGGACGCTATTCAAAAATACCAGGCACTCCCTACCGAGGTGGCACAATGGGCACAAAGTTCCATAATTTAAAAGGAATATTACATTTTCTTATTATTAAATTATTTTGCTTATTTTTGATAATTGTATGATTATATAAAAATTAACTGAATTAAATATGCTATGTTTTCACTCCCACTTCTTCCACTCCACAGAACATTTACGACCGACGCGACAGTAGTGAGCGCACTTGTTGCTTCCACAATTTTTGCACTCATACCAACAACCAGGGCAGTTTTTATAGGGGCAATCACAAGGATCAACTTCCGATTGCTTTGGCGATATGAAAGTAAACATTTTTGGTCGTCCATTCAAGCGGGATTTGTTAGTTTTAATCTTCTCCATTCTTCTTTTTCAACAAATTTAAACCAGAGACTTTAAACGCTTGTGTGTTGAACGTTTTTTTTCAATGAAATAGGTGAAAAAATGTTAATTACCGTTATGCTTAAGCAGAGTTGCAAATTGTGGTCTCATTTCATTCGTGGAATAAATTAAAAGCTGCCATAATCACACCCAAACAACAAAAAGGGCAACACTGTTTCTAATTACCTTACCATAACGCCATAGCCAAGAAGGCGCAAATGGGTGAGAGAATTTATAAGAATACTATAAGAATAGGAGATTCTTATAAGTTCTCTGGTTTGCCTTGTACGAAAGTGCCAAGGAAGAATTATTTAATGAAGAAAAATTTCAAGAGCTGATGAAATTTTTTCTAATAAAATTAATGAATTTAGGTTGAATAAGTTCGAAATCGAAAATATTGGACAAACGATCATAATGTATATATGCACATATATAATTGGCGCTTTGTAACAAATGGAAGGTATACAGTCTATACTAATCCGATCCAAACCGCTGAAGGTTTTTGATGAGGAGCCTTTATTTCCTTTTCAGAAATTGACTCGGACAGCTTGGCATTCCTTGCGAGGAGCGACTGTAATCAAAAAAATTTATTTAATTTTTATCAATCAAATGATTCTTACGGGAAATATTATATATATGTACATAAGCAAATATGTACTTAGGAATGCTTACAAATCCCGCTGTGAGAAAACAATCAGGGGGAAGTGGGGATATTGATGGGGAATGTCTGTACGTCAGTATATTCAGCTATTTTTTCTTTATTATTCGATTAAATTTGGCTTCACCGCAGATGAAAAAACTTAGTGCAACAAAAATAGAAGATATCAAAAGCCTTATTGATTTAAACACAAAACACAGTGAAGTTCCAAGACTCGTTGGTGCTCCTGTGCGTTTGGTTTTAAAAATAAGAAAGTCTTAAAGCCTTTATACAGAAAAACAAGCCTGGATGAATGCTAATTTTGAACGCCACACTAGAAATGTCCATGGTTAAGCAGATCTAGTTTGCTGTGTATGAAAATGAGGACCAAATAAGGTGTGATCTCTACCATGGTGGTGATGGAGTAAATGCAGCAAAGGAATCTATTATTATTATATATTATGAAACCAACCTTGGCAAAATGACACTGTAAATTGAGGCTCCGATTTGCAAAAAAAATTATAAAACTTACAACCAAAATGACTGGATCCGAGTCATATGATCAGACGAATCAGAAATAAACTGCCTTGGAAAAGACAACAATAGATTTGGAGAAAGCATCGTGAAGCTTTGACTAGCCGTACTGTTCAACCTACGTTGAAATTTGGAGGGGATAATGGAATGATTTGAGGTTGTATGGGATTCAAGGGGTTTGGAGAGTATGTAAGGGTTACCGGGCGAATGAATGCTAATTAATATGTTTATATTCTTCAACAAGGTTTATGCAGAAGCCTAGAAGTGTGCAGCAAGAATGTGTCGGACGTCGTCTTCCAGCAAGATAATGACTTCTTGTGTTTCTAAAGCTTGGCTTCAAAACAACAGCTTTGAAGTACTCAACTGGCTCCCTCAATCACCAGAACTCAACCCAATCGAACATGTTTGGGTTGAGGTCAAGGGAGCGATTTCTGGTTTACCAGATGAGTGTTAGAATGTTAGCGATTCATGGCAAAAGGCTCGAAATGACTGGCAAAATATTAGCGGAAATTTCTGCAGGAAAGTGGTCGAGTCCACGCCCAAATGATTTGATTGATTTGAGCAATCAGAGAAAGAGAGGGTCATATTAAATATTAAGTGAAAAAACATTTTCTGTCAATCAATTGATCAAATGAACAGTGGAGATATTCCTAACAATTCTAAGAAAGCAGAAATGTGTCCCGAAATTAAATAAAATTGTAGCGCCTTTTTTTTGCTTTTTTTTCTGGTACCCAGGTGTGATCAAATAGTTCACATACTGTATGTATATATTGCCTATTCTAGCAAACATACGAACATGCACATAGGATGTACTCGAAGGTACATATCAGTTCTTCAACGTTACACTGAGAAAATGTAGGCCAAATAAACCTCATTAAGCGATCGATAATGCAAATTCCCTTATATTTTTGGGACCAGCATAATTTTCTTGCGTAAAGCCAACAGCAAAAGTCGATCTATAAATTAACCTGCGCCACCAAGCAGTAACACATTGGTAGAACGAGCGTGCTAGAAAGCTTAGCAGCAACGCATCGAACAAAACAGCAATTGCACTGAGGACGGAACTGTAAACCTGCCAAAATGCACACCAGTTTGCTGCTAACATTCAGCGCCTTACTCGCAGTTGCTACTCTTACTAATTATTGTCAGTGTAACGACAGTCCAGGGTTCTTTCTGAAGATCACCAAAAATGTGCCACGTCTAGGGCGGCGTTCAGACAGTTATTTCTTGAAGAATATGAAGGCAATACCACGGATTGGGCGCCGGGATGATGAGGTAATTTAGGCAAATACAGAAACTAGTACCCAATTCATATGTATGTATATTGAATTCATTTCAGGTTCTTGATGTGACCGGCAATTTACAGCCAGTGCTGAAACGTATGCTCATGAATCCAGCCGATGCAGCTGCTGCCGCCGAACGCGAATACAGTTTGGTGCAACCGGTCACTTCGAATACGCTCATCGAAATGCTAAATAAGAATGCGATTGCTTCGGATAGTATCAAATTTATACATTGGAAAGATTTTGATCGCGCGCTACAAATGGATACCGAGCTGTATGCAAAGCTCATCTCTTTGGGTCGTAAGCCGGATCAGAGGCTTAAGGAGGATCTTCATATTGATATGACAGGTGGCGTATTTACACCGCTTCTAACCAACTCGAATAGCAATGATTATATATATTACAACAACAAAGATGTCGACGACATGTATGCGCCCAAGTATGGTGGAGACTTTTCGCGTTACAATCAATTGATTTAGGAACTCGGAAGTGTTCCTGAAATGTAGGTAACGGAAAGTGCACATGAGTATTATTAAGTGAATTACAGCAATAAGTTTAACTGTCTAACGGGTGTTTCTAGTCAGAAGATTAGATTGATAAGAGCAAATATAATACAATCGAACAACAAAACAAACACAAGTGAATTCGGTTTAGAAACCAATAACAAAAACCAAAGACCATTTCCACTTATTATTGAAAAAAAGTTTGTGTTTATGCATGTACAGTAAAACTGCAATGTACCTCTAAGCGAAGCTATCTTAACATGTAAAGAATGGGGCTTGGGATAATGAAAATTGGTGCGGTATTAAATTTAATCATTGCGATTATTTTTAATAAAACTGAAATTCAAGCTTTCAATTTCGTCGCTAGTCCTTGCAGGCAAGCGTTTTTCCATTTCATCTATAATGTTACTTCTAGAAAGGGTAATTCAAGTTGTAAAGGTTGACGTAGTTGCAATTGCTGATGACAATATTTTTTTTTTTTTTTGAAAGAATCGTTCTTACTTTTGAAGTTAGCAAATTAAATGCACCATAATCTAATCTTCTAATCACTTAAATTTTAGTTTCCAGCAAAATACTTACTACACTCGTAAATAGTACCTAAAAATACATACATATGTACATACATATGTATTGGGTTGCCCAAAAAGTAATTGCGGAGTTTTCATTTAGTCGGCGTTGACAAATTTTTTCAACTGCTTGTGACTCTGTAATTGCATTCTTTCTTCTGTCAGTTGTCAGCTGTTACTTTTAGCTTGCTTTAGGAAAAAAGTGCCCGAAATTTTGTTTACATTTGTTTGTTTGGCGTCAATTTTATTATGGAGCCCACACGGGAGCATTTTCGTCATATTTTACTTTATTATTTCCGTAAAGGAAAAAACGCGGAGCAGGTTGCTAAAAAGTTACGAGATGTGTATGGTGATGAAGCCTTAAAAGGAAGACAGTGTCAAAATTGGTTTCGCAAATTCCGTTCTGGAGATTTTTCACTTAAAGATGAGCCACGTTCAGGTCGGCCAAATGAAGTTGATGATGACCAAATCAAAGCATTAATCGAATTGGATCGTCATGTAACTGAGCGTGAGATAGGAGAGAAGTTAAATATACCAAAATCAACCGTTCATTATCACATAAAAAGTCTTGGACTGGTGAAAAAGCTTGATATTTGGGTACCACATGTATTGAAAGAAATTCATTTAACACACCGAATCAACGCTTGTGATATGCACCTTAAACGCAATGAATTCGATCCGTTTTTAAAACGAATCATAACTGGAGATGAAAAATGGATTGTTTACAACAACGTTAGTCGAAAACGATCATGGTCCAAGCATGGTGAACCAGCTCAAACCACTTCAAAGGCTGATATCCACCAAAAGAAGGTTATGCTGTCTGTTTGGTGGGATTGGAAGGGTGTCGTATATTTTGAGCTGCTTCCAAGGAACCAAACGATTAATTCGGATGTTTACTGTCAACAATTGGACAAATTGAATACAGCCATCAAGGAGAAGCGACCAGAATTGGTCAATCGTAAAGGTGTCATATTCCACCAGTACAACGCTAGACCGCCCACATCTTTGGTCACTCGCCAAAAACTGAGTGAGCTTGGCTGAGAACTTTTGATGCAACCACCATATAGCCCTGACCTTACACCATCAGACTACCATTTATTTCGATCTTTGCAGAACTGCTTAAATGGTAAAACTTTCGGCAATGATGAGGCTATAAAATCGCACTTGGTTCAGTTTTTTGCAGATAAAGGCCAGAAGTTCTATGAGTGTGAAATACTAAATTTGCCAGGAAGATGGCAAAAGGTTATCGAACAAAATGGCAATTATATATTTGATTAAAGTTCATTCTAAGTTTTATTAAAAATGCATTAACTTTCTTTTAAAAAATCCGCAATTACTTTTTGGGCAACCCAATATATGTGTACATTGGTATCTTTTGCGTATACAATTTGACTGACAAATCCTTAAACTTTTCCAAAAAAAAAAAAAAACATCTAAATCATACATATGTGTAATTGACAGGTGTCAGCTGTGCAAAAAAAAAAAAAACAAAAACAAAAGAAAACAGAAACAAGTGAAAAAATAGAATAAAAACCGCATAATAAACAGTTCTAAGCACATGTGACTCAACAATGGCTGAGCACAAGCGTTAAACCAATCACACAATAGTAGATGGAAAACACCTGATCTTTCAAGGCGTTATAAAAAAATCAACAAAACAATGGCAAGTATAAAAACAAAGAAATTGCAAAAAAAAACGAAAGATTATAGAAACGAACTTGCCTGATACGCGACACCGACACTGCCAGTGCACACAAACAGTCGACTTTGACATTTATCTAACAACAAATATGTATGCATACTAACAACAAATCAGTATAACACTACATACATACGTGTATATATTTCTATTCATCTAGTTTAAATTGCACATAATTATGGCGCTAATTAATTAGTGTATAAATTAAAATTAATTAAAATATTTATGTAGCATTTTTTCGCCTAGAGAATGCCATAAAAACTGCATAACAATGCAGTTAGCAGCGCTCATACACGGCTAATGTATGCGCACACATACTCGTACATACACACATATATCTACTCGTATGTACGAATGTCTGCTCATTCGTTCCTACAAATTTCACGTTCACGTTTTTGGCAAGTCACTGCTGAAACAATTGCTTCTTGTCGCTTGTCATTGAAGTGCAAGTTGCAAGCATTTAACTGTCAGTGCACACCATCTTGTTGAGGGGCGAGAGGTGCACACAATTCACTACAGCAAACTTATGCTAATACACAATGACAGTGCACAATTTAATTGCACAGATTTGCTGCACATTTAACAGCAGCGACGGCAAGACGCACCGAACGTGTGTAGTACGAGCCGAGCAACAGCGATTCGCATTCGTTAGTTTGTATTTTGTAAGTGACGTTTCATTTCAGTAGTGACACACACATATGTATGTATGTGTACGAGGAAATGGCAATGGCAATAGCAAAAGGGAACAGTGTTAACAGCATTCCAATATAATTAACAAGCCTACCACCTTCCTCCATACGCGCACAGACAGTGCCTTCAGGTGCAAAACTTAGTTACTCGTACGACGCATTAGAAGGCGGAAAAGGGTTGCATTGAAAGTATGGCGAATACTACTACCGTCGAACGATGCATCGTTAAGCGGTGCTGTCAAGACGCGCTGGCGTGTGGTGTCTTGTTAATTCCATTTTTATCACATCATGAAGCGCTCATTTATCATTGCACTGCAGGTATATCTATCTAAATATGTACATATGTATGTATGTATGCTGCAATGCAATTTTTTTTTTAACTTTCCATACTTCTTGCGGTTTTCACACAGCATTGGCTGACTTGTTTGTCACATACTAATATGTACATACATACATTAATTTGTGTTTATCACTTGCTGTTGTGTTGAGTAGTTCATTTATCGAATGAAGTTGCTCGAAATGCTTCTTACTTGGCAAATGACTCGGTGATTTATGACTTTACTGCGTGCAGTTCTCACAAATAATTAGCACAGCTTTGCTTTAATTGTGACGTAATTATTGCATTTGTTTTGATTACTCTCAATGAATAACTGCTTATTTGTACTTTATGCATGTTAAAAAAAAAGAAATAATGGAAGTATCGTATTATTAAATTAAGCTCAAAGAATCAGGCGACTACGCTTAAAATTAGGTCTGTTATTAATTATGAGAAGTTTTAACATGAATTGCATTGTGACTAAATTTTCCAACAGATGTGGTATAAAGTTATGGCTACTTTTAAGAATCGTTTCTGGATATGTCGCTGAATGAGATGAGTTTCATATACAAACTTCTTTAGTTGGAGGTATATAGTTAATATATGGAAATCTTCTTCTCCATTGGCATAGGTACCGAGTACGCGATCATAGCCGAATAGCGCGCCGTTCCTTACTTCTCTCCGTTATTTGGTACTAGCTGGAAGGATCAAAGAGTAGCCTCTCCACCTGATTCTTTCAATGTACTGGAGATCTTCCACCTGCTTCGCATTCACCAGCGGGTACTGCAATAATTTTGCTACTTTTTTTTAATACCCGAAATTGAATTTGCTATTTTTGCGATCATTACATTGTTTGAAAAAACTTTGGCAGCACTGCTTTTTTCGACCATTTCAAATTATTTTGACCATTTGGTAAAGTAAAAAGAATAATATTCATATCGAAATGCATAGAAGACGGATTGCAACAAAATAAGCAAGTTTTATTCATTTTTTATTAAGTCATAAATAATTGAATCTAATTATGGAAAATATGTCAGGAAGACGAAAAAAGCTAAATGCAACGTTATCTTCCAAAAAAAGGATTCTTTTTTTTGGCAAACTTCTTAGCATGCGCCTTTCTGCACTTTCTGCACCATGGAACAAATGGAGGAAATGGTTGCTACGATCGCTGAATTACATTTAGGGAAGTCGCTGATGATGTTGCCATATCGATTGGATTATGTCACAATATTTTTCCAATGTTTAGGATATGAACCGTCTGGGAGCAAAATTTGTTCCGAAATTGTTGAATTATCACATCACGAAGCGCTCAGTAGTTGAAATCTGTGAAGGTGCAGAATTATTGAAGCGTTAATGTTGAAACTAAGCCGTAATAATAGCTGCGGAGGCATATGAAGGTTATATGCCACTATTTTCTTCCATTTGAATGGCAAAGCACATCATGTAAGATTCGTATTCCTGCTCCCAGGTTAAACAATCGATCAGATGCTAACTACAATCTCAAAGAAGTTTGTGTTGGGAAACCCGATATAACGCCCAAATTTTGGTAAAAACGGCACAAGCATAATGCTCCTGATTACACTTCTTGCCTCACTCTTGAATTTTTAGACAAAAGTAAAAGCCACACGGCGTCAGACTGTTTCCTGTATTGAAAAATAAAGAGAAGGACCGTTGTTTTACAGACATCAGCAGCGAATCGCTGAAAGGACTAAAGGCTACCTCATAAACCGAGCTTAAAATTGTTGAAGGAGAAAGACGTGTTGGCGTGACAGCATGGACGTTAACAAATAAGTATTTTTGTAGCAAATATTTACATTGTTATACAATATATACACACACATTTGTTATTTTCAAGTAATTAGCAAAATATAAATTTTTTAATTAAAAAATGCAACATATCATAATATATTTCAACAGTAGGCGGCACACTAGGGATTTTCACGAACATTGCCTCGCAATACTAATATTAATAATTCATAATTTTTAATTTAATTTTATTTATTATCCAAAACAAGTTGCAGTGCATTTATTTAGCTGCCACGAGAAATCCATATATGTATGTATGTAAGTGAGTAATTATTATTAATACATACAAATTTATATGTATTTGTGTATGTACGTATTACTTAATTTATACATTTTGATAATTTTTGTTGCATCAAAATTTTCCAGACACTTGTGTGTTTCCTTTCCCAAACACGCGATTAATGATTTTGCTAATTTGAGAAGTAGAAATTTATTTTCATTTTCATATTTTTTGTTGAGTCATAAATAAGTAATTTATAATCTTTTGTAGTATACACAATTTAGTGCTGTTTTTAGGTGTTTACAAGGTGTGTGTAAATGTGACAAGTGTGCCAGTTGAGAATAATGTGCTCACACGGCGAGTTGCACGAAAATTCAACAAGATGTCCTCTGGAACCTGCAGTGAAATATTGAAAGGCGTTTAGCTATTTAACGCTTGTTGTTACTACTTTTGAATTTTCGTCTCAAGTGTTTGCCTTGTTGGGTGTCATCTAATCCTTTTTTTTCGCATCTTAAGTGGGCGTTGAAGCACCTGCTGTCATTGTGTATTGACTCTGAAGTGCAGAGAATTTTATGAAAAGTATGCGGAAAATGACAATATATGGGAATTGGGAAATAATCAAGGCGAATTCATAAAGGTGAGAGCAGGAGCACAAAAACAACAATTACCGTGTATTTTGTTTTTGTTTTCAGTGTAACAATTGTCTAATTCATAACAAATTCGCCTTGAAAATAATACATACACTTTTAAATTGAATTTTAAGTTTTATTTTCGGGAAATATAAACAGTTTATTGCTTGAAAAACATTCTCCGAGCGGTAAATAAATATTTCTCCAAAAAAATTAAGATCAATTAGTTCCCCCGAAATATTTTTTAAATATATCTGAGGTATCTTAACAGAGAATATATGTTAAAGCGACTTAGGTTTCTCTAAAGTCGAAATAAAGAATTTTATTGAAAAAGCTCAAAACTTAAAAAGGCGCCGAGCAATAATCTAATTACTACTTATCTACATCCCAACTGCCTATTTAATGCAATACTTAAAATGGGAATATTTTCCGCTCGATGGAAAATGTCACAAGTAAGTAAAACTCCCGAAACCCAGATAAAATAGAACCATGTAATCAGCCTATTACTCATAATATCCAAAATCATTGCAGAGCTACTCTTAAAATTTTACTCCCAGATATTGAGAGAGAAGTCCCAACTATCACTTAGGATTTAAAAAAATACAGCATGGTGGAACTGATTGGTAGGCTTTTTTTTTTAGAAAATATAATATATTCCGCATTTACTTTTCTCGATATATCATAAGAATTCGATCGTGTTTGGCACGACAAACTAAACTACACTCAATATATACTTACTTTTCGCATATGATTTGTCTGTAGTGCAATGAACCACTATTGGAACTTTTGCTGATGATCCAGCTGTCCTCACAGTAGATCCCGTTTCCAAGCTAGCTTCAAAGAGGGCTAAATAAAACTCCGTAAATGGCTGAAGCAAAGTCTAAAACGAGAAACCTGTACCTCCCTTACACTAAATAATACATACCAAGTATTTTCAAATACATACATATAAATACAAGACTCACTTGTTGAACACACATATTTACAAAACGAAAAGCTCTCGACCTAATGATCAGAAATTTGCACTCGCCCATACTTACTCATATACTCAACTATTCTAAAGCCAATTCGGACCTAAGGGATACAGCTGTGGATCACAGTAGCTAAATCTATCGCAGAGATTTTCTAAACGTTTCAATCTACAATAAAACTATCAGAATGATTACCAACTCACCACACTACGTAGTAAATGACCGACTCCACAAGGATATGAATGTCTCAACAGTCTAATATCTCTTTCATCAATCGTTTCAATTTGTATTTCGCTTACATACAAATACAACTACATTTCGCAATTTTAACTAATAAATGCTCTTTTTAAATTTAATTTATTAAATTTATTAATAAAAATTGCTTCAATTTATTAATAATACTAAGTAATCACTTTAAATTGCCATTTAAATAATGAACAATGCGTTAAAATAAATTGCCGAAACATTTTGGTAGCTGAGCGCTGGAGAGCCTAACCACAAACAAATGGCAGAAAAAGTGGTCAGAAGAGCATAAAAAAAACAAATGAAATAAAATAGAAAATAAGAAGTCAAAATGAAGTTGAAAAATCATGTTATAACAAAAAATATTTAAACTAAGCGCACCGGAAGTCGTAAATCAATTTTTTCCTGACCAACAACTACTGAATGTAGCTTCTCAAGTCTACAGCTATTTTTTATTTATTTATTATAATTTTTTATTTTATTTTTTTTTATTCCTATAAAAGGGCTACTCTACCCTCGCACTATTATGTGCTGGTAGAAATGAAATAAAAAAAATTAAAATAAACACACAAACCAACCAACAAACGAACCAACGGCCAATCATTGCGCCGGTGCGGCGGTGTGGCGATTATGAATGAAACATGCAAGCGCATCAGTGCTGCCCAATTTCAACTAAGACGACAGCTATAATAATAGGGGCCAATTTGCCGACATCGCGCCGTCGCCGACATGTTAGCTAGAAAGTAGCAACAACAAACATGAAATATCACTAAACATTTCTACAAGCTTACACAGTGGCATACACGAATATATACATACATAAATATATACACATGCATATCGATCTACATATGTACATATATTATATATTAAATAGCGATGAAGCTGACGATGTTAGAAGTTCACTGCAACTGTTATGACAATATATAATACTATATGTACATATGTATTGATGGTGATTTCATTGAGCTAGAGCCCAAGGCGTGGCGTTTACCAAGCAAACGTTCGATGTTTGGTAAATTTGTGACATGGCGTCTTGGAGTTTTAGAGATGAACATGCAATGACTTTTGAAGGGACATTTACATACATATGTGTATATGAAGGCATGCCGTTGTGTTGGCATCTGCGTGTGCTTGTGTTGTGCGTGACAACGGGGACGCCATCAAAGCTGGGAAGTGAATCTAAGCTAAGATGATCTTCCACTTTTTTATCTAGATTTCATAAAGCGTGGTTGGTGCAGGTTGATTTAACACTCATGCATAGATACTTATATACGTAATTAGGTATGTATATACATGAATATATTCATACACAAATCTTTGTATATACAAAAGATCTGTATTGAGTCAAAAGACGGCATGCGACATTTCAAATAGAAGAAATGGCATTCAAAATCATTCTAAGTCAAGTAGAACTTCGTGATCCAAACGTAGGCTACGTAGAAGCTGCAGGAGACTATGTGGTTGGAGAGTTTGTTTAATAGCTCGAATTGAACGTAAAAATAAATCTATATACATATATAAAATAAAGCGTAGTTAATTACCGAGCTTACAATTCAAGAACTCAAGAACGCCTACACCGATTTCGTTGATTCGCACAAATTCGGGTTGGTCTTCAGCCAAGTAAAAATAAAATTGGAAAATTCCAGGAAGTAAATCACGCCCTATTAAAAAAAATCTAGCTTTTGGTTCGATTTCCTGGAAATTTGGTACGTAGATAGGAAATGTGTAGTGGACCTGAAACCTATCTATTCAGTAAAATCGTAGTTCGGTTTGCTTGAACGTTTGTCCTGCTACATGATTCGCTTATCTTTCCTGAAACGATTTAGTTGTTTATTAGAGACCGTTGACGATTTGACTATTTCGAAAAAATCCTAAAATAAATCGTGCAATAATTAGTCAGAACGTCTGTTATAGTTAAAGTTGATAGGAACGCGTAGAAGAAAATGAAAGGACTGTGCCCAAGATTTTTGGATGGCCAGTGTTCGTTGCCAGTAACGTGTGTTTGTTGTTTGTTCTTGCGCCGAAAACCTGTCTCTACACTGATTTGGATTCAATTAAAATATATCACATTAAAATTAGAATTATCGACTATGTTTAATGATCACTTTGGAGTTAATGCGAAGGCGTGAAATTGAGACAAGGAGAAGTTAACCGCGCTCGTTAGTTAATATTTATATATGTACATATTTTGTATTGAAGGTATATTTATGTATTTAATTTGTGTAATTATAATTTCATATTGATTAAAATCAAAACAAATTTTCATTTTCAATTATTATTTGGTGTTTTGTTTTGTTAAAATTATATATATACAAATATATATGTATATATTATACAATAGTGATTAATGCAACCGTATATTAATGCTTCATCAGGTATCTACTGCCTGTGTGGTTTAAATGATATATTAACTTTGTTACGACAACGGTTCTTTGGGCTCAATAAAATGATCGGGATAGATACATATGTATACTCATATACATAGGAAAATATATAAATAACTTAATAAAAAAGCTAAATGTGCCAGAGATGGAATTGAGTATGAATTGGGACTTTTCAAATGAATATGAATCATCCCAATATTCCGAAATTGTTATTGTTGTCAAATAATTGATGGCCGCGGTAGCCGAGTGGTTAGCATCACGTACTGCCATTCGAAAGGTTCTGACATGAAATAAAGGCTCCTCATAAAAAACCATCAGCCTTTCGGAGACGGTTTAGTAGAAACTGTGGGTCCCTCCATTTGTTGGAAAAACACCAAGTCACAAAACAACAAATTGGAGGAGGAGCTCGGCGGTGAAAAGTGTCATCTACGCCAGTATTAAGCACTTTTGAAAAAATCGTATACGAGTATTTGAAATACGAATAGCCTACCGCAAAAAGAGTAGAAAAGTATGATCACGTCTTAGCATGATCGATATCGTACGAAAACTGGATCCAATATCAACTAACCGCTCGGTTCAGGCACCTATTGTTCGGTTCCACGCGAACTTATCTCTACCCGACTTGTTTTATTTCCATTCGATTCTTTGTTTACACTCGATTAACGGCATTTTCATTTTTGATCAAACCTTCGAAATGAAGACACTTCTGTTTTTTATTGCGGTGATCAGCTTTCTCGCCAATGTAAGCCAACACATTTTTCGTAAGCTGAATTAAATTAAACTAATGTAAAAAATTGTAATATTAAAATAATAGAGCTCGAAACAAGTGATTAAAAAGAGTTATTTTAACAAAATGTTTTTCGAACTTATCTCAGCGAAATCGCCAGCACCGCACTGAGGCTGCAGTCCAATTCACAAATGTGAAATGCATAACAGCTGATCCGAGTTATATAACTACCGAACATTGCTTCATAAAATCGGTGAATCGCACTTATAAATATTTTTCGATGCGTTTGAAGTTGCACACAACGGAGCTATTAACGAATACAACGGTAAAGAATAATTGGTTTTCACCAGACCTGCGTGAATTGCTTCAATTTAAATAATAATTTACTGATATTAGTTTATCTTCTACTTAAATTGATTGAGCATTAAACAGATGTCACAATAATCTTTCTTTTAAACTCTTTCAGGTAAATTTTTCATTATTGAAAAAGGCTAACGGTTATAAGCCTTTTCTTTATAACATAACTTTTGATGGTTGCAAATATCTTCGAAGTCGTACAAATCCTATAATTATCTACTTGCACAGCTTATTTGAGTTATATTCGAATATAAATCATACGTGCCCCTATGGACCTGTAAGTGCCTATGAAAATCACTCCACTAAATACCCATATACTTATATATATGTACAATAATCTGATTTTTTCAGAACGACTTCGTAGTGGAAAAGCTTCCTATTTCTCATATTCAACGTTATGTTTCGGATATCCTTCCATTACCTCAAGGGCAGTACATGTTCCATTCTACATGGGCATCTTTTAATATGAAACGTATGTTTGTTAAATTCTACTGGGACTCCATTTAGGCGCTTGGTGTTAAGCATTTAATGCAGACTACTTGTGTGTGTATATATGTATTTGTATTCGCCGTCACAGATACCGTTGAAAAAAAAATGTATTTAGGTCAAAAATTAAAGTTTTTGAAATTACATGCGTTGCAGATTTTTTTTTTATTAAATATACATATTTTACGCAATACTCTTCTAGTACTAGGCGTAGGTTTTTTTTTACGACGAACCCAGCGTTAACCCCCTCCCCTCCAACCGACCGAGGGGCGCGTCTGAGGGAAATCGAAAAATCCAACAGACTGGTGACCGAAAACCAGTAACAGTCCGGACTGCCCTGAACCCGAAACCGATCGCCGAAAGTCGCGGTTACACTTGCTTCTTACACCACACAGCTACAGATTTGTTCATCAGCTGCTATCGAATTGCATGGGGAAAAGAAGATGGAATTTATTTAATTATTTAAAGCACTTAGTAAGTAGATGTTGATACAGAAAAGCGAGTCAGAGGAATCAATGTTAGAGAAATGTGTATTAAAATCGATACACGAAGATCTTAAAGGGTCGTACATTTCAAAGTTTGTTCTGCACGAGTCCAATGAAAGGGGCTTAAAGTGTTTAAGTATCGCTAACTAATTGAAGGATTCACTTTCTCTTTGCTTAAATCCTAATATATGTGTAATAATTTTGTTCAAAAATTAAAATCAAATAAAGGCGTATATTATTAAATCATTTTAACATCTACAACATTTATTTTCCAGTGAAGAATCAGGAAGTCTCCTGCTCACTGTGTACAACTGTTTTTGACGCTCTTAAAATCTTTGTTACATTACTCAATAAATAACTAAATGAACGTTGAATTTTCTTGAACTCTTCCAATTCCAAAAGATAGCGCATTTTAAGTTATTTTACTATTCACAGTTATTTCTTCGTTTGTTTCTGAGCAGCCGAAAATTCACTTATTTGCAATAGAAGAATTAAAAAATATTTCTTTTCTATTTTCATGTAGAATGAAAATATTGAATGAAGTTTTGTTAATAAGAAATATATTACAGAGAGCACAATGTGATATAAATATTGGTGTGCGTAACATTTATGCTTACATACATACACATGTGCCTAAGTAATTTCTTTTATTGTAAAATTAAAAATTTCTTAGTTTAAGCCCCTACCTGGGAAATATACAAACGTTCTCGTATGTACGAGAGGATTCTCGTCAACTTACCGAATGTTTGTTAATCCCCTCGTATATATTTATATGTATTGTATGAGCATATGAAACTCGTGCTCGATTTTCGACTGGTTTTATGAAGCTCTATCGGTGAAAAATAACGCTACTGTGAATTTTTACCACTAGAGCTGTTCACAATAATATATCTGAATGACTTTTTGCTTTGCTATTATACTATAGTAAAATGAAAAGATAAACAAATTAAATCTATATTAATTTATTGTAAGCGAAATTCACTCCTTCTTGTTAAAATGATTTGCTTCGATACAATATTTCGGACGATATACCGGATCCTATTGAAATCGACATCGGAGTGAATTCAGAATACGAAATAGTATCAAAATTTACCGTATGTATGTGAGTTTAGTAAAAATATGCATGACGGTAGCACGGATGGGAAAGCCGAGCTATAGGTGTAACATAGCAGGCGTTTCCTAGACTATAGGAATACACCTATTGACTTTTTATAAATCAAAATATACATTTCTCGTACAAAATAAACGTACGAGACTTATTGCTTTAATAAAAAAAAAGTAGCTCAAAACGAATTTCATGACTAATGAAATAAAAGCATTCATATATAATTACATATGTACATACTTATGAGCGTTAATTGCAAAAAAATTCTAATATTTCCCTGCCATTGCTTTTACAATAGAATGCACGCTTTGTGACTAAATTTACTACGCAATTATTCACTTGTTGCAGCAACAAAAAAAAACATAAGCAAAAAAAATAAATGCATGGCGACCGATTTCATTGCTCCTCTAACTCAACTTTCTTTTGTTACATATCAGTTGTTTTTGTAATCATTATTTCAATATTAAATGCATTGAAATATTTACATACATATACATGACGAGTATAGTCACATTTTTTAATAGTAAATATGTAAGAAACTAGTAGTAAAACGGATTGAATAATTGCCTGTAAATTTTCATTGACTTTATTTGCATCTTCTAGCGGCAAATTAGTTGCCTAAACAATTTTCCCATGCAGACAAGTATGTAATAAGTATTGTGCGATGTATTTGCCTAAGTAGGCATGCAAATGTCTCAATTGGCGCAAATGCAATGCGCGGGCAGAGGATTTCACAAACTAACGTATTTAAAGTTCTCTCTTCCACACTGATAGCTAACCGAATAAATGTGGTTTGGTTTTGTATCAAGGGCCGGGATCTGCACCAGAGACCTACTTGAGATACGGTGAAAAGATAGCTGGTTTTTGCGAAAGATTCGTAGTTATGGTTCTTTTTACTTGAAAATCTTTTGTTACGGGAAGAAAAAAAATATACGTCTTCAAGGTTTGTTGTTGGAAAATGGACGAGGGACCCTGGAGTAAAGTACGCTTCGCCCGAAATATAAAAAAAAAATACTCTCTTTATGGGAAATGGTTTATCGAGAGATTGACAAAAATTAGTATGATTCGGATGTGAGCATAGATCGTGCATAGGTATTTATGTTCGCTAAGCATTTTTATTATTTTGCTGCTATGGGTTTAACTTGAGTGTGAATAAGCAAAGATTCAACTTTTGTGTTTGGCGTACTTCGAGGCTTTAACATTGATATTTTCATGAAAGACTTTGAGCAGTGAAGAAGTAAGCAACACATAAAGAGAAGTAATTAGATCAATAATGAAATAGAAATGATACTCTTTTGGCTTATTCTGTCAAGGTAACAAAATATACCTAGGTATTAATATTTACCATTCAGTAAATTTTGTTACCATTTCGTATTCTGAGCCCACTGTTGCCCTGTAAAGTTTGTTACCAGCGAAATAGAAGGTAACAAAAATATCTGCTGTTTGATTTTGCGTTGTTAGTTTCACAAAAAATAAAAACCTAAAATGGGTAGGCATTTTTTAGGCCTGGAATTCATTGAGGATGAAGAAAAAAGTGCAAAAAGCCGTATTTAATGAAGTTTTCGAGACGGAAAAATAGTCTTATAATTTGTAAGATATCGTTTTCATTCAGCTTTTTTGGTTGTTTTCATAATTAGGTTCAAATATTTATGATTTAATTTTTTGTGCACCGTCTTCCATTTCGATGTGAATATTTTTCTTTGTACTTTATCAACTGACAAATGTAATTTGACATGGACGAAAAAAGCAGTGCTGCCAAATTTTTTGCAAACATTGTAACCAGTTCGCCAGAATACCAAATTCAATTTCGGGTGTTAAAGAAAAGTAACAAAATTTACTTTACAGGTAACAGTGAGAATAGGTCTGTTAGATGATGCTTAATTAGGGTTTTTTTTTAGCGTTCTTTGCAACATGTGGCCAGGTTTGCTAGTTTTTAATAAAATAATATTTTTTTCAGTAACAGTCATCTTCTATGTATTTAGACACCACCATCACAGCCGAAAGTCAACAGAAATAAAGAATAAAGCAAAATTGCGCTGTCTAACCAACCAGATATTTCATAAAATGGCCGTTCAAACTGATATCCAGAAATTTAAATTAAATTTTCATGTTTTCATTTTTTATACTACGTGTGACTGCTATGGAAATCAAATTTTCAAATCACTCACTTTTATATGTGTATGTTTGTGCTCAAAGTTCCACCATCAGAACGAAATGCAAACAAAAAACGTGATTTTCTTCAAAGGAGCACAAGCAGAAAAGATACATAAACCAAAAACAAATAAATCTGTCAAAGCGATGATTTAATTTCCCAAATATTTGCGCATCATAAATTCTCAATTTGAAACTGTTAAAAGAAGGCCACTCCACACCAGCGCTCACACAATGCGCCTTTTATTAGTTATTATGACTTCCATAAATAATTTTTTTTTTGATATAGAACTATTTATTTACGCGCACAAAGAAAAGCAGCAGCAGCAGCAGCAGCAGCAAAAGAAAGTCATAAAGGAAAAGGTGAAAATTGAAAAGACATTTAAATTCCACGCTTACAAATCGTTTGACTAAAACTAGCCGCACCCCCGACAACTCGGCGTAGGAAATTCATGCAACGCCTTAATAGTTGCTGGTGCAGTGTGGACCTACCGCCGTTACAACGGCGCAGATAGACGTAACCTCGTGTCCAAAACAATCGTAATGCTGCAACAATGCAACCAGCAACAACACCTTGATGTTGTGCAGGCGCTTTTGTTTCTTTTATCTGCCGCAAACCACAAGAATGCATACACGTACATACCATCGCACTCGAAAATACGTTTTGTTATCAGCAAATACCCTGCGCCCGCCTTTCTCTTTGGCACCCTTGACATTTGGTTATTAGTTAGGCATTGTCTTCGAATTGGTATTTTGTATTGATCCCATTGGTATTAACGGAAATTACACAACAAACCATAAAACCGCTGGCCAACTATATTCCTCTTATGGAATTTTGTCTTTTTTCTTCAAGAGTGTCCTTTGTGGTTAATCCTGGCCGGGAGATGTTCTGTGTGTTGCTTGTGTAAAAATGTGTGTTTGTAGGTGTGTAAGTCTATTTGAAAGTACCTGTTGCTTAAGCGGATTATATTTGTGTGAAAAATATAAATTTCGGCGAAAGGACCACCGCTGATAAGTGAAAGAAAACTAGTTAAAATAATTTCAAAATTCACTTCAATAAATTGCAATTTTGAATTATATAAAATAGAGAAATAAAATGTTATTTTGAACAAGATTCAGAGTAAAAACAATAGCACACTAGTTTAGAGCTCTAGATACCAGCTCGATCTTTGTTTATTGCCCAAATATTTGTTTGACATTTTTCAATTTTCAATTTTATTTATCAAAACCTGTGTAGTATTACAATAAATTTTGCACTTCGTTTAAATAAATGTTGAATTATGAAAAAGAGTTCTGAGAAATAAGTAAAAATTTTTGTTCAAAAGGCACGAAAAAGTTTGGAATTGCT